TTTTTTTTTTTTTTTTTTTTTTTTTTAACAGAGAACACTGTGATATTTTCTGTTTACTAAAAATGTTATATACCCCAAGAAAACTTTAGGGGGAAGTGACTTTTGGACACTGACTTTGGAGCCCACATTCCTGAAGTAGTGCTAAGTTCAGAGATCAACCAGGTTGCTGAAGTCCCTGCTGAGTTTTGAAGGCCTTAAAGAATACAGATGCTTCAGTTTCTCTGGAAAACACATTGCAGTGCTCAACTACTCTCATGGTGAAGCTTTAAATTCTTTTACGTATGTCCTACTGGAATGCCCAGCACGGGAGTTTGAGACTGCAGCCTCCCAGCCTTCACTGAGCACCTCTGGGAATGGTCCAGCTCCTCTTGAGACTGGAGTGACTGCAGCACCTAAGAGTTCTACAGTCATTTTAATGCACTTCCAGTCCAGAAGGGAGTGATGTTGGTTACAACTCCATACACTAGAAAGCTCAATTTCATCAGTTTAAAAGATAATTGATATTCTTAATATGCTCTGGTTTTGGGGTTTTTACTTGTTTACTTTTTAAATACAGTCACATTCTGACCTCTCTTTGAAGGAAAGCTAAAGTTCCTTGCGTATGCCTGACACTTTTGGGTTTTTTTTTTTAAAACCAGTTTCATTGGTGAGAAAATAATAGTATTTACAAATATATAGTGCAGGTCTGGGATAGTGGTCACAAAGTCAAAATGTGTATCTGTATTGTCAACATGCTCAGCTTTTCATAAAATGGACAGAAAACCCTCACAAGTAAATAACTGAAAATTAAACTACAATGAAACAAATTTGCACACATGCCTTTTTTAATATATAAAAAGCATACCTTTGTAGACATTTAAAGTTATAGTCCTAACAGCAATCCTGACCATGCTTTCGGGGTGGTTAAAAAATTTAATAGCTTCAGTGTACAAAGCAAAGTCATTAGTGTGCTGTAACAAGAGGAAAGAAAATATTTATTCATTAAACAAGTACAGAATATGGGTTGGGATTCTGTATGAATTATGTTTTCTGTGTAACTTGGTATCTTTACCTTCTACTTAAGTAATCAAACTGATTTTACAATGCACATTCAGCTGCATTTGTAGCTCTGCATTAAAATAAACTGCTTTAAGCATCAGAGCTTCCCAGAATAAGTTTGCTCATACTCAGTGCTTTCATGCCCTCTTCTGGCAGAAAGTGGAGTGCAGAGAGGAAAACCCCATAACAACTTTGCCCTTTGACTCAGCTTTTTGGACTTTGACTAAACCCCTTAGAGCCAAGTGATGTAACAGAAAAGATCCTGTTTATGAAAGCACAAGAAAACATGGCATAAACAAGTTGAATTCTCAAGGAAGCAGACTTAAGAACTACTGAAATGATCCAATATAACACTAATTTCCAGATTTTTAGTTTATGTAAGAGGACAAAGCCATGCTTGTGCAGAGATCCTCACGAACAAATTCACAACCACTGGTATGGCCATTATAAAAATAAAAGCAAGACATTATGAGACAACAGACTAAACAGAGTATGTGCCACACTGCTATCAACTTCTAATTCAAGTCCTGTTATTATTATACTGCAACTTTCTTTACTTACCTCATTATAAAAGAAATGTACAGTATGATTATTGAGTTTCAGGGAAAGAGTTTTCAAAAATGATATGTAATATGCCATGATCTCCTCATCAGAAAAGTCGAATTTGTGGACAATAATAGAATTCACATAGTTATTAGAGAGCAGGTAGTCTGAAAACAAAAAAAAAAAAAAGCAGCATTTACACAGGTTAACCGAAAAAAAAAAATCACTGTGGCAACAGGCTGTATTTAAAGTACCGGCTAGAAAGCAACAATCTGATGCCTGAAGATCACAGCCTTGAGTCAGAACAGCTCAAGTGATGCTTTTGAGCATTAATATAAAGGATCTGCTCCCTACAAAGGTCTTTGCTCCCAAGAACAGGACAACTGAGAATATACTTCATCTTCCTCAATTCAGGTAAGCTCTGCAGCTAATAACGCTTAACTCCTCTCCTCCAAAAGTCCCAACTACTCAAGGCTTGATGATGGCTTTTGTAACAGCTGTGGAATACTTCAAATTATTAATTCTCCATCTTCTATTTATTTTGCCAAAAACCTTGAAGGAACCTCCCGTGGCTGACTGCCAGCACCAATGAAGGCAGTACAAACTAAACACCAGAGTTCCACCACATGACCTGTGTCAGCAAATGAGTATTTCAGATCACAACTAATATAACTTAAAGAACCCCTTGAAATGTGCTAAATGCTTGTTGTACCAAAAAACTACTTTTGCACCACTGAAAATTTATATTGAAACGTGTTGTGGAGTCAGTTTATACCATATTTTTGGTAGTGCTCAATTTAAAAGATTGTTAGTAATTAATATAGCTCTGTGCAGGGATACTAGGACTAGATTTCATTGAATGAAAGGGAATCCAATCAAATCTTGATCACTTCATCCTAAGCAGTTTGGAAGTCTGTCCTTACACAGGGATGTTTCATGGCTGATGTTCTCAAAAAGGATGTTCAGAGTCTGCAGCAGCTGCACACACACATAACGACCAGACTTCTGACGCAGGATGTTCAGGAAGAACACAAACATATTCTTCTCCAAGAAAAAGCTGAAATAAAATAAAAATTAAGTCATATGCTGTAAGTAACAGGAAAATAATTTGGCTAGGAGCAGGGATGATTCAAGGCAAGTCTCACAAATAGCATGCTTTGCTTTTATGAAGAATTACTTTGCAAATCTGTATCTGTGGAACAAAAGAATATATTTCAAAAACCTTAAAAACTAAACAAGAGGGCTTAAAAATACAAATTATGCAGAAAAAAGGTATCAAGAAATTAGGGCCTTTCTTACTGTATTTTTAGCATATTCAGTTTCTCAGGCAGCTCTAAATACCACAGCTGGAGTAAGATATTTATTTGTGGTATCTTAGGTAAATTGAAGCAATGTGATATTAAGAGACGTACTGAGTAAATCTGGACCATAAATTAAGTTATCATTTGTATTTTTATCAAACGAATGGAGAGTCAAACAAAAGCAGTACTTGAAAGGGGCTCTGGAGTCCAAACACTTTTTAGAAGCAGCAAATTCCTGTATGACATGAATATGAACCTGCTCACACATCTACTACAGGGCATAGCTTTTTACATATAGCCATGAAATACAGTCTTGGAGGAGTTAACAGTATCAGTGTTCAGACCTCTGTACAACTCCAAGCATTCTTCAAACACAAAAGCAGAGTCTCAGAGAGCACTGGGTCAGGAGTACTCACTCAAACACTGAGCTGTCATTCTGATCCCCCCAGATCAGGATCTCTGTTATGGAACGAATGGTCTCCACCAGCAGGTTGCGGTTGTGATCTGTTACTGTTGTATTTTTAGTCAAAATATGATACATGTACCTAAAAGAAAAAAGTATTACAAGTAAAGAGCTATCCTGCCACTTCCACACACACCATGTTTGCCTTTCATCACTGTACCAATGCACACACCTATTTGCACACTCTAAGTCTAATCACTGTACAACTTTAAAACACTAAAAATTCCTTCTAATATTGATGCAGAGAGAAAAGTAATTGTTAAACAGAGCGACAAAGGAAACAAATTCCCCCCAGCCAGGTGAGTTACGAGGGCTTATGCCTATGTTAGCGTAGAACTAGAAACTGTGGTACTGGTCCCAAGGTGCTTCTTCAACATGTTCCAGAGAAATTCATGGAAGTCAAAGGAGCGATGAGCAAGGAAAACAGAAACAGAAGAAGCAGATAAGCATGCAGTAGCTGATACGGGGAAGTGGCATATGAGGTATAACCAGGGAAGTTCAATCCCTTCTCTTGACTGCAGAGACCCCTTACAGACTCACATCAATTGTGGTGTTTAATATCAAACACAGGATTCTCAAAGACTATTCATTCACCTTGGCAAAGCTTCATCTCAGGTCTCTGGTCCCTTGAGCACAGAAATACTGACTGGAAAGGGGGTAAAGTCCAGCTTTATAATTTCAAAGGGCATGAGTTTAAGACTGCCTACTGAAGCTTAAGAAAGTCTGTATCACAGGTGACAGGAAGCTATAGAGAATACAAGCCTTTCAGATTTTAAGTCTCAGAATTTTACTCTTCAGGGAAGCACTTTTTTTTTCCAAATAAGTTGTCACATAAAGTACAAAAATATTTCTGTCTCATTACTTTCTTATGTCCCACAAAAAAAGAAAGAGATGGGGTAGGGGAAGATTCTATTAAAATCACAAAAATCACCACTGCTTTTCTCCCTCTGTTTTTGGGGGTTTTTTTTATGTAGTAATAAAAAGAAAGGATAAATATAAGAAAGGTGCCCAATTTTGAAAATAAATAAAAAACATGAGGGAAATTTCATGTAATTTTAGATTACATGCACAAGTGTTTGGAAAGGATGACAGATTTTCCATATTATCAATCTCGCCATGAATAGTGGAGCTAATCAAACTTCCAGGATCTAATTCTGTGAAATAGCTTGTGTCCTGACCCTGGGGCAGCCTTCACTATTGTTTTGGATTCTGTGAAAGTTTGCTCAGTGATTCAAATTGAAATTTTAGGAATCTCATTATTAGAATTTTGCCAAGCTTCTGGCAAGGTTCCAAAAAACACAGTGCATTTTTAAAACAAAATTTTGGGGTGTCTGGTTTATGGCTTAAAGTAAGATGTTTACATCAAAAAACAGACTTGAAATTGCATATCAAAAATCAAGATTCCCATCAATTTTATCAACACTAAAAAATTGAATCACTGCACTGGGCAAGCATGCAGCCAGAGACTAAAATGCCATTTAATGGAACACTCATGTGAGGCTGTTCCAACTATTTATCAGACTTGCAAAGACAAGACACTACCTAGTTTCAGAACCTTTTGCTTGAACTGAAAAAACCTCCCCCAAACAAACAAGAACCTTGATCATATTTACAGTATACTTAAAATCTGTCAAATTTGGCTTTGGGAGTCTTCTTAAACCACTGAGCTGGGCAGAGTTCCAAAAGACTTGCTGCAAGACACAGTCTGCCCTCACCAGCCATGAGAGAACAGGTGCTATTTCAGGGAAGCTGATAAAATGCTTTGTGCTGTCATGGTAAAACACTGTGTGCTTGCTGGTCTTGATATTACTTAACCATCAAACAACAATTTTCATATGTTGAGTACTGCACAAGGACACAAGAGATAAACAGCCCTCAGAAGTTCACAGCTTTAACAAACTTGATATACCAAATAAATGCTTCCTTCCCTCACCCCCTAATCAGCAATGAGACAAAGCCTGCACCACATTACCAAAGCCATTTTAATATTATATGTATCACCAGACAGCAAAAAGGAGGAAAAAGGGAATAGGTGGCAGGGGGGAGGAAGAGGAGGTACAGTCTTTTCTTAATCTTTCTCTTCAGTAAAAAAAAATTCTCTCCCCCTTCATGGTGGTTTTTTCCCCTTCATAAATCAACACTTGTTTTCAAATCCAAAACAGTCACTGGTCACATTGAAACCACACTAGAAAAAGTTGATCCTCAGCTGTGTCCTACAGTCACAACTGCCTGGTCATGTGCTGTACCATAACAATCATTAAACAGCAAGTCAGAGAGCACCTGGAAATCCTCTTCCACTAATCTGAGGATCACAGTTCAAGATTCCTTCTGTGGACACTGACAATGGGACGGCTCACAGGGAAGATGTGAGACCTTAAGGCTGACCACCTGTGAGAATTCCCAGCAGTTCTAAAACAGCACATGGCACACAAGCCCTGGAAAAACTTGTCATTAGGGCACTATGTGCATTATCAGGACAGTGAATCTAAAGACAGCACAAACTCAGTCCCTGCTCTGAGAATTAACGGAGCAGAGATAATTTGAAGCGATGGCAATTAGATCACTTCATTTCACAATAATTTGAACAACTTCCTGAGACAGTTAGTAATTAATACTATACTACTTCACATATTTTAGCCTATTTATTTGAAGTCACATAGAAATTATTGCATCTGTGAACATGTATTTCTCATTAATAAGTTACATTATACAAACTCAGGATTAAAGTTTACTCCAACAGTAGAATTTTGGGTATGGGATGCAGTGGGAAGAATAACGAGCTCTTACCTCATTTGGGTGCCTGTGGAATATAGAGCATTACAAACACAAAAAGCACGTAACAGTCAGGAATACATGATCTCCAAATTTATTTACTTAGTAGCAGCATTACTGCAAAATTCCTTAATTTGCTAAGGCGCTGATGCAGTTAGAGGAAACCTGGAGTTCACCTTCAAGCTATTCCTTTTTATTTATTTATCCTATTTGCTTGAAAAGTAACAAAAAAGCATACACATACTTTTTTCTCTTTACAGACACATGAAATACCATATTATGAGAACATGAAGTATCTCACAAACTTAGTATTTTTTGTACTTAGATAAATCCTTAAAGGGTGTCTCTAAATGCAGAGGGGTCAGGTTTGTGTCTCTAAACACAAAACTATCAAAGAGGAGACTTTTGTCATCTCTGTATCTGAAGACTGGGTTCAAACAAAAACACATCATGCAGGAAGAGTCAAAGCACCCAATCCCATCAAAATCAGTGGGAGATGTTGCCAGCAATTTAACAAACCAAACAAAATTCTGAACATTTTTCTGGTTAGAACCCATGCTCAAAGGAGTAACATAGTATTTGAAGTGCATATTAATGACTTTCCTATTTATTACTTACAAAAATACGCTAAAACAGGTAAGAGTTTAGAAGTCAAGCACTCAAATTTTGGAAGTCCAGACTTGACCATAACAGGCTTGCTCCTTCACTCTGCCTGTAATCAGGTAATTGCATATTGTTCTCACAGAAGAAACCCAATGCATAGCAAGGACAGTGCCTCAGGAAATGAGTCACGCATGAAAAAGACTTCAAGAACCTTCAACCTTTATGGACACTGCATCTGACCAAGGCATGGGAAATGTTCAGCACCCAGCTTTAATAGCACTGGCACCTTCTGTGCAATCACAATGCAATTAAAATACCAAGTGCAGAAGCAACAATAGGAAATGTGCTTGACAGTAACAGGGCTATGTAAATACCATAGAAAAGTAGGAGGAAAAGTCTTAGAAAGACTTTAAAAGGCTTAGAAACAAAGACACACAAAAATACCAAGTTCTCTGAGAGCAGCGAGTAGCACTGTTTCATCCTTCTCTAGATTGCATTTCAGAAGTTGGATTAAAATTTAACTGTTTTCACTAGATCAAGAGACTGTACAAAAACACTTCATAAAAACAGCCTCACAATTTTCCTTCAGCCAGTCCATTCTCCGGTGTGTTTGCAGAAAGACTGAATAATAAAATTTCAAAAGCAAGCCTCAAATAAAGTGCAGTAAAGCTGATGGGAAAGGACCAACATTTACTGAGAAAAAGCAATAACACTGCTGCTATCACTAAGCATGTGTATCATTTACAATTTAGACTAAACTCTGCCTTATTCAAGTTTAAAAATAAAAATGTTCCCACAAGGTTAGCCCAGACTGATTTCACCCTTGTAACATAGTATAATATACCTTTCACAGGCTGAGCTAACCTGTAATACCAAGGCAGGTGTGTTGTACTCAGGTCCTTCATATGGAACACAAAATGGGGCTTTGAGTTGAGAGGATGAGACAGTAAACAGCTTATCAAGTGAGCTTACTGAGACTTTCTTTCATGACCCCAAAACAAAGGGTATCTGCCCTTTTTCCTTCTGTTACTTTACCCACTTCAACACTTGGAAAATACCTAAATTTCACCTTTCCTGTTGGCATCTAGCTAGAAGCTGAAATTCACGCAGTCTGGATAAACAAACACTTAAAACATATTCTAAACAGACCAAAGGTCTCATCTGTCCTTTACATACGACCACTTCAGATTAATCAGAAATGACATGTAAATAAAGCAAACAGACCAAAGCATATACTTTAGTAGATAATTATATACTTCAACTCTCAGATAACAATTCTAGCTCAAGCCACAAGATTTACAGCCCAATTCCCTTCTGCTACAAATGAGGCAGGGTGTAATTTTTCTATTCTCTGTGGCCTCAACAGAACATATGGACACATTTTTCTTGCCTGAAAGTAAGTCTCAAGTCTCCCTCTCACCACCCTTTTTTTTTCTCCTAAACTTAAATTCAGTTTCATCAAATTTCATTATGCATCAGCATTCTTGCTCTATCTTGAAGTCAAATATCAAAGCCAGACAGAGCCAAAGCTCCACTAACGCTTAGTTTAGCTCCAGAAAATGCTGAGTAGTGCACACTAACTACTCCTTGTATGTTCAATAGAACATTCCTATGTTTACATCTGAGAGTGACTTTTTCCTGTAAAGCCAGACTACACTGACTTACTAGTCTGACCTACAACACTTTCAAAACTACTTCCGCAATGCTACTGTCTCGTTAGTTTTGTAGTCATGGACTTGATTTCTGTGTCTTTGGTAAAAAGCATTGCATTTCAGTTAGCCTTGCTAATTTTGAACATTTTTCCAGTTTAGAGACAAGGACCAGAATCCACAAACGATCTTAATACAACAACTGCAAGATGCAAAACTTGTATAGGGCATTCTGTTACTGTCAGAACCCATTCATGTACTCCTTGTAAGATGACTGAAAACTACCAGGTACTTTTTCTCAATGAGCTACATATTCATACTGATCTCATTTAGAAAGTACTTTGTCTCTTAATGACCTCCTTTCCTCGTTCAGTACAAAGAGAAGCTATCAAGGTGGCTCTCACTTTTCCTGCAAAAGCAGAACACTTAAAATGGAACAAAAAAAATATTTTTTTTATCCCTTGCCACCCTTCCAACTCTCCAGTGGCAGAGCTAAGAAAAAACTATTCCACCCTCTGCAGCCAGCAGTAACACACGGCTGCGAGGCTCCGGAGGCACAGGTTATAGTTCCCAAGCTCAAAGCTTCCCTTCTGCAGCAGCTGCTGCGTCCTGCAGCCCAGGGCACATCCCGAGCGCCGTGACTCACCGCTGGCTACCGACATCCCCACACACCCTGGAGCTGCACTGCTCACACACAGGCACCAGCCCCTCGCCTCAGCCACCACCAGGAAACAAAGTTCTCCCTCACGAGGAATGTGGTATTTCTTGTATGTATCACGCCTCGTACTCTACTCCACCTAAGACTCTGTGGCATTACTAAAAACAAAACAAACATGTATGGTAGCCCGGAGTGTAACATTACGTGACGAACTGCGTCTGCCCTGAAGACCTTCTGGGACGGAGAGGCCGGTTTCCGTGAGGTAGACAGCAGACCACAGAGCCTCCGCCACCAGTGATTGCTCCGGGCGCTTTCCTCTCCGGAGAACTGCGGCAAAACGCCCCGGCGAGGGCAGCGAGCGCCTGGGAAGCGTCGCCCGCCGAGCCGCCCCCTCCTCTCCCGACCTCGCAGCCGTCTCTGAGAGAAACCTGCCCCAAGCAGCGCCGCGGACGGACCCGACTGCAACCGCCCCCTCCGAGCCCCCTCACAGCCCCGCCACCCTCCGCCCTCACCGCCCCCCTCTCACTTGAGGTGGTCCAAGGAGTGGATGCTGCGGGCAGCCTTCCCGTGCCCGCCGCCCACCCAGCTGCGGGAGCGGCCGAACATGCTGGCGGCAGAAGGCTGCTCCGGCCCGCGGGCCCTACGGCCTCATAGCCCCGCGGGGCGGGCGGGGACCGGCGCGGAGCCTCGGTGGCGGCACGGAGACACAAGGCGCATGCGCGGCCAGGGCACGCCGGAAAGCGCCGGCCCGACCCCGCCCCTGGCCCAGCCCCCGGCCTGCGAGTCCCAGGAAACACCGCGGGGGACGGGGCCAAGCCCTCACACGGGAGGGGCGGGGCCTGTGCCGGGCACGCTGTAGGAGCGGCTCGCTTAGAACAACATAGGGTAGTAAACGTAGCCCGAATCAGAAAAAAAAAAAACCCATGAAATGTGAGTGTACCTCCTAAATACGTTGTAATTTGAGGTAAAATTTGGTCCCTGACATTGCTTGTTCGGCTTCCATGACCCAAACGAAGCTGTTCTATGGGGTCAGCTGTGCGGCAAGACGCAGTGTCAGAAATTCAGCTGCTGACATTCCCCTTGCTGAGGTTTATCCAGTAAGGATTTTGAATAGGCTTAAAAATTAAGAACAGAGAGAAAGGGACCCATGACTGTCTTGACCTAGTTTGGGATTTTTAATTTTTGCTTTAGCCAGAGAAATAGAGTTTATCTGTGTAAAAGCTGAAGTTTTGTCAGCCAGTATAAAAAATGCACCGAGTTTTAAATCCCGCCTTCGGTTATACTTTGGTCTAGGTAAAGCCTTGGTCAGCAAAGAAACACCTGCACCGCACCCGAGAGGGCCCGCAGTGTTGCTACAGGAGGGCTTCGGTCACAGCGGAGGTCGTGAAACAACTTCCAGGGGCGAAGGCACAGCCCAAACCTCCCGCGCTGCCCCGCTCCGCGGGTTCCGGGCTGCGGCAGAGCTCGGGCAGGCAGGAGCGCGCAGGCGAGGGTAGCGTAGCGCAAGCCGCCCCCTGTTCCCTGCAGCCCCCGAGCAGCCGCAGCGGGACCCGAATGCCGGCACCGCGGCCGCCCCGCGCCAGCAGCAGCGCGGCGCTGGTAAACAACGGCGGCGTGCGGCGGGTCAAGCGCTGGGCGGGGAGCGAGGGGCGGGCGGGCAGCACGGTCCTGCCGCGCAGGCCGGGCTCGCTGGCAGGTGCTCCGCGCCGACCTCCCAACGCGCCTGCGGGCTCCTTCCGCAAAGTTTGCGGGCGGGAGGAGGAGGAGGGAGCCGCGGTGGGACTGCAGTAGCTGGGCTGGAGATGCCGCTGATCAGCCTCCTGCCAGCGGCGGGGCTGCAGCAGCGCCGCTGAACCCGCGCTGGCCGCCCGCCCGCCGGGGCGCCTCTTCCTCCGGGGACTGAAGGGACCGAGCAGGCCGCTCCGCTCTACTGCGGGGCTCGCCTCTTCCCGGGGTCCGGATTCGGCTCCTTAGGGACTCTGTCCTTTGCTGCCACCGGGGCTGCGGCGTGTAGTCCTGCCCCGCTCCCAGCTCCGCCGCTGCCGTCCGCCCCCCGCGCCGGCCGGGCGGGTCGGTGCCCGCTGCCCCCGCAGCCCCCACGGCTGCATGACCGCCGCGGTCTCCGCACGTCTGGATTCGGTGGAGTCCCGGGCCTTCCATGCGCTGCTGGTGCTGCCCTATATGTTTTACGTGGGCTTGTTCTTTGTCAACGTGCTGATCCTGTACTATGCTTTCCTGATGGAGTACATCGTCCTCAATGTGGGCATCGTTTTCCTGCCCGAGGATATGGACCAGGCTCTGGTGGATCTGGGGATGCTCTCTGACCCTGGCTCCGTGCTCTACGAGACGGACAGCGAGCTGGATGTCTTTGACGGGTACTTGGAGTGACGGCCCAGGGCGCTCCGAAACGACTGAGCTCTGCCGCCGCCTGGCCCGGGGCAGGGGCCCGCCGTGCCCGCATGGCCGCAGCTCCGGGAGCGCCGCGGCCCCGGGGTGCCCTCTCTGCGTCGCGGCTCCTGCGCATCTTCCCTTCCAAATGACACACTCCCCGCTGGTGCAGGGGCCACAGGGGCAGCCGGGACCCGCTGCCACCGGGCAGGCCCGCAGAGACGCAGAGGGCTCGCAAGGGAAGTAAGTGATTTCTGAGTGTCCGGCCGGGCACGGCGCTCCCGGGGCAGCGGGCACAGCGCCGGGGACACGCTCCGCCGCAGCTCCCGGCACGGGCGAGCGCTGCGGGCAGAGGGCCGGGGCCACCTCCGGCGCTTACCCCGCCCGGCAGCGCCCGGGGAGCGGCGGGGCCCCGCTCCGTGTCCCCTACGCGGCGGGGACAGCGTCCCTCTCCCTCGGGACTCATCCTCCGAGCCACTGCAGCTATGTTGCTGGGGGCTGCCTGTACAGCCGGGCAGCAACTTTGCTGATCCGGTCCTGAAAGCAGCCCTGAATCGAAACGAGAAACGAGGTTAATATTTATTACAATTCAGAGACCTTCCTCGAGTCAGAAATACATCTTAGTTTGCTGCCCTTTAAAACCACTCTCTTGGATAATGACAAATTAACCAGCTCACCATCTTCCCATTTTAATTGTAGGACGAAGGTTTGGTTAATCATTTTTTGTGGGTTTTTTTTTTTTGTTTGTTTGTTTTTTTTATAGTTTTGAGTGACTCTAAAACTCTGGAAATGTAAGGACTTAGCATTTTAAAACACTGAAATGCATTCGGGAAGAAAAATCACTATTTTTAGCTAGGACTTTCTGTGCCAAAAGTATGTTAATGAAAACATTCACAGTTTGAATTAAAATGTGTTAGCAAATCTGCCAGCAGATTTTTTAGCAAAATATTGCCTGTAAATCTGAAGACCAGTTCAGGATATCTTTATTTTTCTGTTTGAAATGATGGACATAGGAAATTCACTTACAGTGTTACAGGTATAAACTCGGTGACCACGCTATACAAACACCAGTTAATATCAAACTATTTTAAGCAGTCTTCTAATTTAACAAACCCAAACAAACATTTCCTGTAGTTCTGTCCTTCATATAGGTTAAAATTATCTCCTGAATATTTCTAGTCAGATTCTGTGTAAAGTAGTATTAGCTGATTTTGGTCAATAGTTTAGAATGAAAAATTGGACATTTTTGGGTATTGGAGTAACACTGATTGCACAAACTGCTGAACAAGGCTTGCCCAAAGGCACATGGGAGCCTAACGAGGGAGTGAACAGATTTTGTTGCTACTGAAGAAATCTCTATGCATATAGTCACTGCAGATGGAAGTGTCTATGCCAGCATTTGGTGGTCCATCCCAAGCAACTGGATTAGAATCACTTCTAGAATAGAAAGTGTGGAGCAATCCTCCCCACAAAACACCATTGACTGCTTTTGTGGTTGTCTCCTTTTTCAGATGGAGAAATAATACACATGGTCTGTATTCCAGGAAAGAAATTCCTAAAAATTAATGGTAATTTAAACAAAATCTTTGGTGCTAAAAACCATATCCATTTTCTTCCCCAAAGTACCTTTCCTCAAATTCCCAATCTTATGGCTCCAATGCCATTGAGTAGAGGGATTAAAAATACGTTTTTTAAATCGCTTTTTTCTGTCTAGAATTTGTCTTGATGAGTTGTGTCTAGTTTTCAGGAAGACTTAAGGAGAGTACCAGACACAATTTTCCTCTGTGGGTTTTTCCTACTATATGAATATATAATTTGATATGAGCACTGTTCAGTGTAGATTAATGGGCTTCTTAAAATTTACCTTCATATTAATGAGACAAGCAGCTCTAGAAACTTCTTGATATTCTAACTATAAAACCCTCCATATCTTTGATACGCAGAAATCAAAATGCAGAGGTTTTCTCAAAGCTCAGAAGTAAGGCTCAGTCTATATCTACCCAGAGCTAATGGAGTTCTTCACAGGTACCAGCTCCAGTCTCGATCTTTCATTTGGAAGCTGTCATGATAGATGGTGTTTTCCACTGAGAATCAAATCACAAATCCCAAAAGTTAGATCAATTCTTAGGGAGCAAAAAATCTACTGTGTTTCATCTATTTCTGTATTTAATTATACTTACAGACTTAGCAACCAGGCCACAAATTGCATAATTATTTAGCTACCAGGCAAAGACACAGTGTTATCCCCATGACAAGGGATTTGAGTTAATATCCTGGTTCCAGGTTTCTTCAGTGTTCTGTGCCGTTCCTCACCAGTTCCGTAGTAGCAAAGCAGGGAGAAGAGGGTCCTAATTTGGAGCTGTGTTTTCTGCTTTGGGAGCAGCAGTAAGGCCCTGAAAGGGAGGATTTAAATTCTTGTGGTGCCTTGCCTGCAGTGACCCGAGTTTGTGTGAGTGTTAACCCCTGCTCTCCTGGCCTGGGAAGGTTTCCCACCTGCCCTGTTCCCTTGCATCCAGAAGTGCTGAAGATTCACAAGACGCTGCAGGAAGAATGGGTCTGTTTTGCCAGCAGTGATGAAAAATACATAGGCCTACTCTTTGCATTAAAGAGCAGCACATTTTTCGTGTGACTCACCAGTGATTTCTGAGAACACCCAAAGAGCTATGATTAGCCTGAGCCAAAACCTTCAGTGTCCTCCGTGCCTGGGAGAGCGGTGCCTCGCACCCTGGGTGAGTGACGTGTGACAGGAAAACAGAGGGGGCAAATCCCAGGAGGCCTTTCTGGAGTATGTGGAAAGGCTAATTTAGATGTAAAAGTAAAAGAACATGTGGATCAGAACAGTTCTGTGCTCTCTGGCAGCAAACCCCTCACTTGAATAAACTCAATAGAAGCAAAATGATGTCCAAGTGTCTGAGCATAATTAATTGGTGGCAGAGATTGAAGTCAGACAGATAAATTAGCAGCTGGAAAATGTTTCCTGGCCTATTCAAATGAAGAAATTCATCTGTGTAAACTGAACAGAATTGAACTCGTTCATGTCATCTACTGTTTTCATGTGAGTGTGCCAGGTTATTTTTACTATATTTGAAGCCCTTTGGAAAAGGTCATATGACTCTTCCCATACTTTAATAAAATCAGATGTCACTCATCAGAAAGTAGTCCTATCAGAAAGAAAATGGGCAAAAGTAATCAATAATGAAAACTGAATAAGCAAGATTGAATTTATGTAATCTTGCAGTACCATGCTTTACCTGTATTTAATAAGATGAATTATGAATATCTTCAGTGAGCAAAATCCAGCACTCAAAAACCTGTGACTCAGCAGTTCAGATGAATGCCAGCATCTAAGTTTTGAATAAAAAAAAAAAAATAGCTTAACTCCCCAGCTCATCAATATAGTGCCAGTTAGAACTGCAGGCTCAGTGTCTATGGGGCAGCCACCCCCTGTGCCTGTGTTCTGAAGCAGAGATGTCCTGCAAAGGACAGAAGAATGATGTCACTAGCACTGTCAGGATACATTTAAATGTATCTGAATCCACTTCCTGACTTTTTTCTTTTCAGACTTTAAATACTAAAAATAATGAGCAGAGTAGTTTGTTACTTAATTTACCTTGCCATTTTCTACTATTTTTCCCCTTTTTGTAGAGATCACCAAGGTGATTTGTTGACTCCATGATATAGGTCAGTTGGCTGTTTTATGAGTTACAGTAGCAACAGGATTAAGTGCAATTGCTGTGGATTTTAGAACTGTGTTTTGAATATTTAGATATTTTTGTTATTAAAATTAATAGAAATCCAGTGTTCAAACTCACGTCACAGCTCTGCTTTAAAGAAACATGTACTTAACAGGAATTCCATTCTAGATGGAAGGAAGACAAAATCATGGTTAACTATTCAGCTGTCCATACAGACTCATTAACCACAGCCATGGACAGTTCTAAGTAATTTTCTACCAAATGCATTTATTTATATAATGTCAAGAGAGTAAGCAGATCAAAAACTTTTCCAAGTGGTGATATTAATAATGTGAATTAAAATGAGGCACAGAAATTAGAGAGATGTTCAATTTTTGATAGATATAGTTTAGGCCTGAGTATTGCATGTGTTAAAAGTCTCAGTCACAAGTAACTTTAAAGAATCATTTAAAAGTATGTGCATGCGTTAAAAGTCTGTGGTTCTTTTCTATAAAAATCAAGCTTTCTGTAATAAACTTGCTTCAATAGGAGGCAATAGCCAATTACCACTTTTAAGCTGTCAAAGGAATTAAGAAATTAATCTGATTTAATTCTTCATGTTTGTTTCTTCAAGGAGGGACAAAGTGACACTATAGTTCAGCTAATAACTATCCATCCTAAAATAGAAGAAAAGAATAATTTGTTTAGAGACATTTAGTCTCTAACTCTTTGCATTTGTCCCCTCATAACGATCCTAGCTTATGAGGAGTACAACTATCCCTAAGGATTAAATATGATTAAATCTTTCCAGTCATTCAGGGAAACTGTCAGACTGTCTTTCTTTTTGCAGTTGAATTTTATTACTTTGGCTACAGATTTGGAAAGAAAAAATAGCTGAATAGTTTGAATGATGCTCTCTGAAGACACAAGTGTGTGTCTAATATATGTGATAAAAAGGGAAAAGAAAAATAGGAGCCATATAGGGGAAATAATGTTATAATGGAAAATGATGATGTGCACTGAGTGATGGATTGCTGGGGAAACCCCAGGTCAGTTCACAGACTTAAGGCTAAATACTCTTTTCAGGGCCAGAAAGAAAGACCCAAGGGTTGCTCAGGCAGTAGAGCCCAAATAGGCCACAAGAACTGAAACATTGCTGCAGAAAGTGAGGAATTGGAAAACAGACAGTGTCAGGATGTGAAACAGAGTCACACCATGCATCCTTCACTCCAGCATGCATTATGAGGAACAGTAACTTCAAAGGCAGAAATAGCAAAGATGTGACTGAGTTGTTAATCCAGAGTCATACTACAGCCATACTGATCAGTGCTTGCAGGTATGTTCTAAGCTATTGAAAGTCCTAGTTCTGAGACTTAAAAAATACTTAAAAATATTTTCTACCTCTTTATTTTCTCGTTTTCTGAAATTTTTGAATTTTTCTGTTAAAAAATAGGTTCTCATGAAATTTGAGGGACAGATTTCTAATCTGAAAATTAGAAAGGCAGGATTGAATATCCTGGCCAAATGTGTAATTTACACCCCATTTAATATCTGCCACAACAAATTACAGTCTTGCCCTACAGCACAGTTTGGAACTGCCATTAGGCAGCTTTACACTTTGCTTTGGAGGCCCCATACATTTTGCTGTGCTATTTTTAAGTCAGCCTAGAATTTGATCTGCAGTGCAGAATACTAACCTCACTGAACTGTCTGCTGTAGACCAGTTTTCAGTTCCACTTGGAAAGCAAGCAGATAAACATGAAGTGAGTAACCTGGTGGAGCTGCTGTTCACCCTTTTCATGTCCTCATTTTAAGAGAAGGATTTTGAGCAGATGTGTTCTGTTAGCAGGTACTGTAGCTGACAGACATTTGACAGAAATGCCTCACTGGACACAAAAGTGCTTCTTATTTCTGATCCAGTATCTGCAGTAAGTGGCACACAGGAACATGGAAGTGTTGTGATGAGTCAGACCACGATCTTAAAGCCCTGTGTTCCACCTCTGGGAGAGCTCATGGCCCTGACCAAAATCTGCAGGCTGCTCGCTGCTTTCCCAAATCCTCAAGGCAGAATTGCAGGATGTTAGAAGGCACATTTTTGCCCAGCCCTTTAGCAAATGTTTTCCAAACCCGCCACCCTTTGCCCACTCTGTGTTATGAAATCCCTCTGGATTTCCTTCCTGTCAGTACAGGATCTGAATACTTGAAAGAGCTTATTTTGTGCAGTCTTGAAAATTTCTCTATTCATCCTCTTCTTTGAGTCAGTAATGGTGATGAATAAAAATTGTTCCCTGGTATACTCTGCTACTGAGTTCTTTCCTACCAAGCTTTATTCTTTGCTTCCAATCTTTTAATCTGCTTTCAATCCATGAAAGAGCCTTTCCCCCAGACCTGTGTCAACCTGTTTGCTTTTGGCTTCCTGTAATGCCTTTGTTAATGACACTATTGCTCTGTCTGTCCAAGTTCATGCAGAACGTGTGACCATCAGACTTCATTCTTCATTCAGATCCGTAAAGGGGAAGGAGGGAGGAGCTGTCCATGCAGAGACTTGCTGCACACAACACAGAAATGTCCTGAGCTGCAGGCAGCCAGGGGACCTGCTCGTGGTCTGCTCTACCTCAACTCCTCCTCAACACAGACTCATCTCCAGTCACACCCTCTCAGAGCTGCGCCATTCTACACTATGCTAATTAGTCATCTGTAAAATCACAAGACCAGATGAATACTGTAACTAGTGCCCAGCACCTTCATAATCCATAGCTCTGGATCTACTTAAAGAAATCTTCTCAGCCTTGTATGTGCCCTTGATGATTGTAAAAAATCACCTCCTAATAGCATGGGATACTTTGACTTTAGATAAACTGGGATAAAGCAATATAACAGTAATTTATTCTTGGCAGTAAGACCAAGAAGTTACCCCAAAGTGTTATTTAGCTCTGTAACTACTTACCAGTGGATCCAAAATAGTTGGAACAATGTGACTCTAAAGTAGAAGAGAAAGTGACCAAAAGCAGGGACTACATCAAATGTAGTCAATGCTTAATTAACACAATGATCAAAAAAATAAAAATGCTCTAATGAATGCTATCTAGTCAAGATAATGTAGCCAGTTCAAACATCAGTTTTAATTAGTAGGTCTAACGATATCAAATCTGGATAAAATAGGTTATCCCACTGTATGTCACAGCTGTTTTTACTCTTAAGAGCATCCCCCTGGTAATTGATGTAACTCTCATACCCCTCACACTGGTATCTTTATGGCTCTGTTAAAATTCCCGAGGACTGATGTGCTCTGGCATTAACTGAAACTGTGACATTGATTTCTCTGAATGGTTGTGCAGCTCTTTACTTCTCGAAGAATTATTACTCAGAGTCACAAAAGGATCTGATTTTAATTTTTTTTTTCTAGTAAGTCAACAACATGGTGCTGTATGTTGCATAGTCAGTGACTTTCCTGTTCATTTTAGGTATGAAGGGTTACTCTGTATTTATGTGTTTTCTTTTAAACAGATTCATTAAACACCTGAAATGGATTATGACCAGGCTAATGGATCAAGTCCTGGAAAGAAACTATACTCTGAAATGTAGAGATGAAAATAAGGAGAAGAGAACAAGAAGAATTGTCATCAGACCTTGTCAGTTGTGACTTCTCTTCATGGTCTTTGCCTCTTGTGTGTGCACTTACTGCAGTGTTCATGCACCATACTGGGCTTCCATAGGTAATTCTGGGATGGACTATATGAAAAAATAAGATAAACTATGTTCCATTATAACAGAAAATCAGGATGTTACCCAGATTTGATAAACTTTTGAATGAATACCATGTCACCAAAATGGACACACTCCACATATAGCTTAAGCCAGTTTTACAATCACACGTTGAAAATTCTACCAGCCAGTAGTTCAAAGGCAGTGCTTTCTCAGGGGAAAATATGCAGGAGTGACTGAAGGAGGTTCTCTTCAGGGAGTATTATGGCAAGAACTGTGCTAGTAACATATTTTATTTAAAATGAGAGTTTTGAAATAGATCAGAGAGAGAATTTTATATAAGTCAGGTGGATTCATTATTTAACATAGGATACTTTGCAGATTGTTTAAGCTCACGTTCCTATGTACAGATGTGAAAGCAATACAATAAAGACTGACCTTTTCCATGAAAAATCAAGCATTTGTGTTGGAGTTGTTCTTCAGTAAAGAAAATAACTGAAATATGCTTTCAAAGAAATTCCAGTTTTCCTGTAGGTACCTGCAAGTAATTCCAGATTGCTGAGATGGCCAGCAGGTAGGAAATCCTCATGAACAGCTACTTAAAAAATCAGACCTGAACTGAACCATCAGGCACTGAGGGGAGGAGGGGGGGATGTTATTAGGGCAGGCATTGGACTGGTTTTGTTTTATGGTCACGCTTTTTAGAAAAATCTGACTTTTGTAACTGTTCAATTTTTAAACAGAATTGATGTATCAAGAACATTTTGGATAAATAATTGAAAACAATTCTGCTGACACTTTCTGCATGATGTCTGTCCTCTGCAGTCTGTGTCTGCCATCTGCTCCCAGCGTGGGCTCCCCACTGCAGACAGATGGTGTCAGAAGTCTCTTTTCAGCCAGTATGAGGGAACAGGAGGGTGATGGTTTAGATCCCCCATGAAACAATGACAAACTCGTGTATCCTGATATTCCCAGTATGTTCCATTCAAATAGCACATTTTAGGTCCTAGGCAGTAGAAATGAGCTCCCAGTTCCCAAAATTCTGTGGTCCAAATACAATTTTCAGCTGCTTTTGCAAGAGGGGAAGCACTGACACAAACCAACTAGCATTTCTCCAAGATAGGTTTCATCAGGTGCAGTTCAGGACCTTTAAACACTGACAAGTGTTTTGTTCAACACAATCCCAGGACAGCAATTCAGGAATGAAGTCATTTAGGGCACATTATTCTAACATGTAAAGATACATTTAGGGAAGGCAAGTCCCCATTTAGGTACCTATAGAGAGAATACTCAAGTTTAGAAATGTGTCAAGCTTGTGTTCATGTGCCCATTTGCTACTAACAGAGTTAAGGCTGAATTTTGCTACTGCAGGGGGCATTCCTGCTGCCTTTATAATTACTAATTTGTAGTGTTCACAGAGATGGCTTCACTAGTTTTGCAGGGTCCCATTTATGCCTTTTTAAGAACCTGGTTCAGTTTGTCACTATTGGTACTTGGTGCAGTACCTAGGAGTTTGTAATAAATTCTCTGCAGTGGGTTTGTGCCACACAGTCAATAAAACAATACAAATTTCCTTGAGTCAGTCACTTTGGAGGTTCTGAATCTTAGATCAAGATTTCTGATTTCTCAGAACAGCTCGGCATCATACATTTAAAGGTTGGGGAGAGTGTTACAGGCTCTGACTAACATGATAACACAATCCTTGGCATTTTAGCAAGGCTTCTTTGACAACAAAAAGATGGACATAAAGAGAGTGGCATTTTTCTCATCCTAAAAGGTGTTTTATAACAGAGATTTGATCACAACAGCTTCTTAGAGGGTAGCTAGTGAATTCAGTTTCTATACACAAGGCACTCATTTGACAAAAGCATTTTGAGGAGCTTGATGGCATAAGAACACCAGACTTTGAATGTGGATTAATTTTAGAACTTCTAACTGCAAAGATTTAGAAAGGATGAAAACCCCATTTTGCTTTTATTAACGGGTGGCCTCAGTCAGCACATTTGTATCTCCTGATCCTGAACTTAGTCTGTCATTTGGCATTGCAAGAACTTGTTCCTGTTAAGAAAGAATTATTTCTCCATTTCCAGCCCATTGAAGTGTTCAGTGCCAGCAGGACCATCCTGTCTCCCTCACACACAGTGCTTCCCATGAACCTGCAATACAAAGCCCCAAGCCTGTTACTGTGGCAGAAGCCAGCAGTTGCTGTGTGGTTTCATAGTATTTCCAAGAGAAACATTTTCAACGGGTACTAAAAGGTACTGTTAAACACTTTTATTAATACTTTAAAAAAGATGTGTAAAGACAACCAAAACACAAACCAACACCAAAATATCAAGATTTACAATCGGCAAATATACATCTCCCACTAACTCAGAGAACTGCAGTACACCAAACATGATTTTAGCAGTCTAGACAGCATCCTGTAACATTCAGCTGCCTTTGGAATATTTAGCACATTCTCAGACTCAGTCACGGTAAAGTGCAGCTGCAGAATATATCCCTAAAGGGGCATTTGTCATCCAAAGCTTTGTTAAGAGAAGCCAAGAGAAGGGCTTACCATGGATGTGCATGGCTGGAGTGCTGCAGGCTGATGGGAATATCACACCAGATTTGGCTCAAACTCCCTCTCATTCAAGCAGCTCAAAGAGGAGAGAATAAATAAAATTTTTTTGTCCATGGCTCTGGCTAGAGTTTGGTTAGAGACCAGAACCATGCAGATAGTTAACAGAAATGCCACATTCTAATTACAATTATATTCTCCACAGTGTTTTCCCACCTTGCTCTCTGTTCCTTCACATGTTCTGTGATTCCCTGCTGTCAGAAACAATGAACAAATATTCCTTCCTCCCTTCTTTCTTTAATTTGTCCACTGTCTTTAATTTGTCCACATACCTGATGTCAAGAATCTGCAGGCATTGAAACTTAAGCAGAGGAGTAAAATTTGTTGGAAAGAAAATGAATGTTGTGGGTCTGAACTGTTTAAATATGGGAGTTTTTAAAGACCAAGAAACAGAGTATTTGAGAGGTTAGTTGAGACATTCTAGTTTGCACAGATCCTTGGGTCAGTATTATCAGTGCTTCCTAGCAGAACAGATTTCAAAGAGGTGGTTGAACTAACCCTGAGCTAACTGTGAAGTATAAACTTCCCAATTTGTAGCATTTTGAGCATTCCTAGGTTTTTCCATCCCTTTTTGTGGTTCTGTCTCAGACTGTATCTGGACAGGAAACCAGAATGGTGCTCCTGACCTGACAATTGCCTTTGCACAATTTTAAGTTCTCTTCATGTTCACAGAGCAGAAATAAAAGAATAAAAGAGACAATTGATTTGCTGTTGCACTCAGCAGGATGCATATTTGGCCCACATATGACTGAGACCAGCAGCATAGACATGATAGTGCTTTGAGATGTGCTTTTGTCTGATTGCCTGGTTACTCATAACTCTGTACCAGAAGGTCACATAAACCACACATAGTAGTGATATCACTGTCAAGTATAAAATTGGTGCTTGTAAACATTTATGCTGCCAGCTGCATTTAAGAAATTACCAATCCAGGTATATGAATTTAAAGTTCTCATTTGAGACAAAGTAAAAACCTTCAAAGATTGTTTGAGGATTTGTGTGCAATAAACTGGCTATTTTTATCCATTTGGATTTCTACAATAATGTTAGAAAAATCTTTCATAGTTTTCACTTTCAATTCTTGTCTTCTTTGTTCCCACCCACCAATCTTTTTGACAGATTCTGTAACAAGTCATAGAAGATATGTTTCTGTCCCTTCAGGCAGCACTGGTTACTAGTGAAGAAAAGAGCAATTTCTAGATTCACTGATTATTATGAAGAAAAGAGCAATTTCTAGATTCACTGATTATTATGAAGAAAAGAGCAACTTTTAGATTCTTGTGGATAATCTTATAATATCAGAACGTTTTCTAGGGCTCGATGATTCTTTTTTATGCTCCTCACCCTAGTGCTTCCAATCAGTCCATACAGATAGGTGAAATCTGTAACTTTGATCTTTGAAAGTCCAAAATCATCAGACCAAATCTGATGGCAGTTACCTCTGGCACCATGAAACAAACAGATTTGATCTGTCAGTGCTTCAGATGTTGCAATTTAAGCAGCTTTCAGTTTACACTTCCATGACTTGATGATGGAATTTTATACTCACAATATCCTGGTGGTTCCTGGTCTTTTTTATTGGTGGTCACAGTATCCAGATGCTCTTTTCATCTTTGAAGCTTGATGTTGCTTAACTCTTCTACCACTTAAGTAGAAATACAGTTGGGTCTTTGAATAGCATTTTAAAACTCTATCATTCACCCCATTTTAGCATAGCTTGGAAACTTAAATGTGATATTTTTGCAACAAACATGAAAACACTGATTCATAAAGCAGCAAGAAGACAGGAAAGCACAGAGGAGACCTTCCCCTCTTCTTTATGACACCTGTAAAATGATGAAAACAGAACATTAGATGTACATCAGATTAACCACCATTAAGATTACCAAAATCATAGATTTGATGAGCTCTGTAAACAGACAACAGTGGCTGGTGGATGTTGAATGTTTCAAGGTTGGGAGACAGGATCCAGAGTTCCTGCTGCTATTTATCCTCAGGGCTAATGCAGGTTTCCTGATAGTGTATCTCTAGTGTCTCCTTTCTCAAGAAGGTAGGTTTGTTAAACAGGACAAAGATTTTATGGACTGTAGGCTAGCAAGGAGCACCACAATTTTTCACTGCTGTTGTATAAAGCTGGTCTGTGAAGCTGCCATGACACCTGAACCTTCCACAACCTGTAGCCAGGTCAGTGCCATACAAACAGCCCAGTCTACATCTGGTGATTACTGCTCTGAGAACAGGAGTCATGCAAAGGCTTGGCTCACTGCGTGGTCCAGGGAGCCACTGGCAGCTGCAGCCATCCCATGGCCAGGCCCATTCAAAGCATGGCTCATGCAGCTGGTGATCACACTGCAATTTGTTTTCTGGCCATCTAAAGAAAGCTGGAGCACATCTGATATCTGGCTTGACTCTGGCATTCACTGGAATCATTTAGCTGATGCAACATGCATATTTTTTTCTTTTAAGAGCAAGAGGAAGCACATGGCAGAAAAGTGGGAACAGAAATCCTACATAAACCCCTCAACTTCCCATGCTGGATGCAGCTCCTTCAGTCCAGGCAGTCAGATCCTCATAATCATTGACAAACTTATTAAATTCTTCACAATGCAATTACTTAAAGGATTCTTGAAACTCTTCAGGCAGGATCAATGAAGTAAAAGGGGCATCCACTGGCTAAACCACACAATGAGACTGAGAACAAGGAATATAGGAGGGAGTGTTCTGCTCTGAGTACAGCACAGGTACAGCTGCATAGTGAGACAAGCAGCTGTTGAGGATTTGTATTAAACAAAGGAAAAGTGAAAGGACTTAGTAAAAATCAACACAAAATGACCTCTGGGGAGTACAGAACTCATCTATTAAACATGAGAAGTACAGAGACCTTTAGATTTTCCACAACAGAAAACAGCAGGTAAGCAGGGCAGCTACCAGTCACTGAACTGGGCTGGACTGGGAGTTCTAGAAGTCCATTTTTCTTATTAAAGCACTTGCAGTCTGTTAGTGCAGGTGCCAGGGAGGTGGTGGATGCAAGGTGAGTGCAGGGAAAGGGGGCCTGATGTGACATTGATGTGTGCCACTCTAGGGCACCGTCTCTAAACTTGCCCATGAACACGTGCATGCTGTTACTGTGCTTGCTGCCAGTGAGCCTGGAATCAACAGCTCCCACAGAAACAAACCTAGTTGTCTGAAAGAGCCAAGGTTTATGTTACCTCTTTGGAATCCTCTGAATCTACACACTGATCCTGGAGTCCAGCTGGTGAAGGTGTTCAAGAACTCCATAGGGAATGGTGGGATTCCACATCCTGTAAGGGCAAATTCAGAAAGGAAAGAGATTTTAAGAAGTGTGATTTGCTTCACTTTCTTTTAGCATGTTTGATCTGGTTTTGGCTTTTTTTTGGTTGTTCCTGTTTGTTTTTTAAGTTGTCCTTCCCTTTGACTATCATGCTATGAAAATATATAAGCTATGGAGCAAAGGAAAATGCATTTTGATTTAGAAAAAGCAGTTCAGTACTCCATAGCCTTGTCAACTCTGGTTACAGGACACAACTGCACTCCTGTCTCTGTAACTGTTCTCTAAGTTTCCATCAAACTCCCTTCCTCTGAATGTGTACTGGTAGCTTCAGGATATTTAACCTCTAATGATGGCTGCTCATTGTTTATCCCTCAAACACAAGTGGTGCAGCACAGAGTGGGTCTGGTTCTCTGGGAGGGTAGAAAATTAACAAAGGGAGGCTCAGTGGAAACTGTTTAAGGCAAGACAAACTTGATTGCCTGGGACCACTGGGAACTAATGCAGCTGAAACCAGAGACAACATTTTTTAACATCTCTGCTTTCGTATTTTGGTGTTACCTTCTTTTATGCCTCTTATAAATCTGACAAATACAGAAGGCAGCATCAGCATGATCTCTAACCCAGTTTTACAGGATGAAGATACAGCAAACAGACTGTCAAGAGACTCACACCAAGTTCTTTATATGGGGACATTTTCGTAGGCTGTCCGTCAGCTGCTGGGCTCCAACACCAGTTATTTTGTTATACTGAACACTGAGGAATAAAAACAACTTTGTTAATCCAAATCAAATGGTGTAATCAAACTTTTCATTCAAAATCAAAAATACTGTTTAATGTATATGTTAATCTATAGATGGGGTAAAAAATTAAAAAGGAAAAACCCCCAAAGAGATTGTTGATTCAAAAAACCTGTAATAACATACTCAAAAGGTTGAATGGGAACTTCATTATATTAATTCATCTGAGGGATTCCTTTTTCTATGTTCCTGAAGTCATTCTCCAGATCCCCTTGAGCCTATTCTCCCTCTTTAAGACCAATGTTTTTGGGTTTATGGTGAACTATTCCTTAATCCTTTCTAGTCACTGACTATCTGCACTCTGCAGAAGCACATTTTCCCTGTGAAATTTTCCCGAAATATTCTTCCTAAGTTTCTGTCTCCTCTAAAATCAATCATAGAACATTTGTATTTTCAGTCTTCAAGAAAGTAAACTTTCCTGGGCCATCTCAAAAGGTTGCATACTCACTCTAGCACTCTTAAAGATGTCATTGCAGGAAGAGCCTTTGCCAGATTTTCTGCTCCAAAATCACAAATGTTATTATTGTACAAGCTGCAGAAAACCAAACCAGAATAGTCACAATTGAATAATGGATAATGTAAACAGGTATTAGATCAAGGGTTTTCAAATATGGTTAGTATACATTATACATATACATTATACATTATACATATACATTAACTTTCAATCTATCCTTATTTGCAGTTAAAGTTTAAAATACACATTCATATTTCCTGTATCAAGTAAGGCAAATGCACATCCTTCTTCACCTAGCACAGGTACTGCAAAAATAAATCTAGATTCTGTTATTCTATGGATAACAAGAACATTTCTGTCTACATTAGATCAAATTAAAAATCTGCTAAAAAATGAAGCTCAAAGATTTGGGGTGTAGCATTCGAAAGAATTCCACATCACCAAACTACTGCAGAATTTCACACCAGGGTTTCTTGCATTCCCTGCTTTACTCAGGCCTGTGCCAGATATCCCAGTGCAGTGGGATGGACCATTGTCCCTATGTCAGCAAACACGTGCTTTGAGTTTGCAGCTGATGGTGGTCCTGGGTGCTCATCTGTGCAGGGTGTGATTCCTAAGTGGGTATTATGGACTGGCTTTAAACATCAGTCCAGTCCTTGATATATTCCCAAGATATCCTTTTGTATGTCTGTCATACCTTTTCTCCTCTTCTTTCTGAAGACTTTATGCAAGAATGAAGTCAAAAACTGCACAGTCTTGCCTCTTTGTTCCCTGTTCAGTAGCTTCTAACAGAGACAGCAAGGTATGTTTTCAAAACAACTCAACAAGATACAACTACTCACCTTAGTGTTTTTAAGGAAGACAAGGAAGGGAGAGCGGTAGCGAGGTTCTCTGCACCCAGATCTGTTATTTTATTCTGTGATAAACTACAGTAAGTGAGATCACTTTGTTAGTTGAGCACATTTATTCTAATATATTACAACGTGGGGGAAATTAATTTTCAATTTTTAAAAAATGTAATCTGGACAGTCTGTTTAGACCAAATGCAGAGAAAAAGTCAAAACAGAGCCCTTGAAGGGAAATAAGGAAGGATTAATCTATAATGAATGTACTGATTAAGTATCTCCATAGGCTCATTGGTCTTTCATGCCCATGGGAATCTTCTGCTCATGTTTTTTAACATACTGTCCCTTATGCCTCTAGGTTTAATCTATTTCTTCTCAAAATTTCCCTGAATTGTTAACCTTGCACTTACTTTAATGTTTCCAGTGATGTCAGGGTTGGAAAGACTTCAGATAGACTCTTTGCTCCTTCATCTCCTATGCCATTTTCACTCAGAGCATCAAGGCTGTGTGACAACAAAGAGAGAATTAGCTTCCCTTTTAATCTATATTTTTGCGGTTTATTCACCTCAGAGACCACTCTATCTATCTTGAAAAGCTTCTTCTGTGCAGTAGCCTCAATCAGCATGAAGCATCACACAAATTACAGCTTCTCTAATAAGCAGCATTCTGCTGCCCAAATTTACAGCCTACGAGGTTTTTTTTACTAGTTGAATGTCTTGACCCATTTCCTTTGATATGCAAGCTTATTAAAATGGTTATGAAATAGTTGTGTTCCAGCTAAGCTGAAATGACATTTCCTGTGCACACAAAAATACAGAACTGACAAAATCCAGCACAGTCTGTAAATCCTTGCCTAAAGAGCTCCTTCTCCAGAGAGGGAGAATTAAAGATGAAGTTTTCCTCATACCTAGTCACAATTTCAGATACTGGATACCCTTCTAATCTGACAGATAATTCTGGAATATATTGGACAAATTTCAATTTGAAATCTTTATTGTTTTCCTGAAATACCATGAAAAGGCCAGCTACAACACAGGCAAATGGTCAGTGGGCTGCATAAGGCCAAAGGCCCTCTCAAAACACAGTAACCTTCCCACAGGTGCCATGGAACAACACTGACTACTGCTCCTACACTTGTTTCTAGTGTAAAGAAGCTTAAAACTAAGAGAGAGTTGGTTTGTCATGGCTGTTCTGGAGATCCAGTGAAGACAGAAGTGACTGTAAGCAGTTGGTCAATGCTGGGGCAGAAGAGGGGACACTCAGGGGCTCTGTACTGAACCTTTTCCCACCCTGGGACACCCTAGGAATGGACTGAGGGGCTCTGAACAAACCACCACCAGGTGTCTCAAGGGAGAATGGGGAGCTTTTAGGCTGCTGGTATAGTTTGGGAATATTTCTGCTGTTCACTGTGGTCATCAAATAAGGAGTCTTGTTGACAAATGAAATGTTTCTTGGGTCCAAGAACTCCCCTATCATTAAGGGGTGCTGAGGAGAAATGTTAGCAAAGTTACTCTTTAACAGAACTCACTCTAAATGCTGAAGTGATGGAAATGCTGCGAGAATTTTCACGAGTTTTAGCAATCCTTGGAGGCCAAATGCTGGACCCAGCCTGGAAGAAAACAGACATGCAGCAGGTTTTTCACATGCTCACAAGCAGCAAAATTAATGAATTTTTGAGTTCTTTCCCTGCAGCTGCCAATGCAAGCTAGTTTACCCTCCTCAGAAGCAGCTATTCCCTACCACCTGTGCCACAGAATTCTGCTGTGAAGCCTCCAAATGAGGACAAACAAGACAGAGGTCAGGCAGGACAGAGCATGCACAGAACAGTGGGACATTTGCCACTTTTAGACTTATCTCACTTGTTTTAGTTTCTTGTATTTCTGTTCTCTTTTTCAGGTTTTTCACTTTAAGTATAACCTTGAGATGAAATATATATCTATCTCAGTACAAATGAAATGAAAACAACATTATTGTTCCCCTCAACTAATAACAATTCAGTCTAACTTAAAATCACAACATTTTACTGCAGCTTAAAGCATAAATGGCACTTTGATATTCATGCTCCAAGCAATTGTCTCTCATATCTTATTTGGAATATCTTTGGTATTGGAACAAGTTCAGTTATTTAAAAGAATAAGAATTTTAAACAAAAATTTAAATAAAGGGAAATTGTAAGAGGAAATTAGAAGAGAAAACAGCATAAAACCAGAAGGGAGGCCAAGCATAGCTGTCCCAGGTTGGGTTAGATCTACAGATCAGGAAACAGGTGAAGACCTGATGAGAATTCTCCATGGTACTGCTGCAGTTTCTGCCCAAACTAATTCACATTCTATGGCAGGATATTTTGAGCAATAAAATAGCCTTGGAGGTTGCTTACAGTTTGGGGGAAAGAAATGAAGTGTTACTAAAATCTCACTTTTAAAGTGGTGATACCAAGTCAACCTCCCTTTTTCCAGAAAAAAGGATGCTAAGTAATTTATTTGGGAGGCATTCTCTGATGTAATCCTCTCATGGCTTTAGGTCTGACAGGGTAGAAAATTACATCAAAAGACTCAGATAGAAAAGTCCAGCATTTCTGGAGAAAAGAATATTTTCCAGGTAGCTGGATCACAGTCAAAATATTTTATGCCCTGTGGCACAAGATCACTACCTGGTGGTCAGGAGATAACTTGCACTAAAACCAAACAAAATTGGTAGAGCCCTGTTGATCTGTATTGCTACAGGAGCCAGAAATGATGGTTTTTTGAGTCTTGGCCATAAATTAATAAATCTAGTTCAAAGAAAAAGCAATAAATGGGGTTTACTTAATGCTTGAAGCTGACTATAGATCAGTGCAATGGCTGTAGCCAACACCCACAACTACTCCTCCTTAAACACGACCATCTCAATCAGTAGAACTTTAGCACTTACGCAAATTCGAGTTTTCTGAGGTTTCTAATGGCAGGAATTTCATAGCTGGTGCAACCAGATGCTTCTTGAGCACTAAATAAATCACAGTAGAACCAGAATATGATAAATATTTTAGCAGCCAAAGCAGTGCTTTAAAAATAATTTGTTAGCAAACTCTTACAGAAAATAAACTGGTGTACTAACTGAGGAACCAGGAAAATTCAGAGTAACTTCTGCTCTAACCTTTCTTCAATTGAGTAATTTCAATCCAATAATTGCCTTTCATAGTGCAGTTGTTTGCTCTTTTTCCAATAAAACTTAAAAATATGTTTTTCTGAATCAACTATTTTCTGTCAAACATTAAACCATTTTGTCTATATTTTAATCAAAATACTCCACCCATGTTAAATTGGTTTTTTTTTAAACCACCACCACCACAACAACAACAACAACACTTTATTTCTGCATGTTTTTAATTACAACCAATCCCTTAGCTACATCATCAGCAGGGATGGAGCACAGGACTTCTAGAGCATGTAACACAAGCTTTTACTTCCTGGGCTAAAGGACTGACTCAGGCCATTTGGGACCAGTGCAAAACAGGTTTTCATTTATGCCCAGGTGCTACAGGGGGAAAGAATCAGCCCAAGTTATGTAACAAAATTACTGGAAGATGGCATACTCGGAGATTAAAGAGACATGCCAGCTGGCTCTGTCATTGGCAGTTTTGATGACTGCTCTGCATAGTGCTGTCATTGGTCCTCCCTGCCGTGACAGCCACCTCACAGGGGGGCAGGAGAACCCCCTGAGATGACCCAGGAGCTTGCCCTGTCTTAGTTACTTCTCCTCTGGACAAGCAGACAACCCCATTGTCCAGCACTGGTGGTGGAGCCCTGTTTTCATTAATTGCTGGTGTAAGAAGAGTTTTGACCATAAATCATCCTACCAATTCATCATCTTCTGCATCTCTACAAGGTCAGAGAGGTCGCTGATGTCCTTCATTGTCTTTGCCTTAAAGGGATCAAGAACAAATTTTTCTGTGGATGCTTTCAGCAGTTCATATTCTTTTGTCTGTTCTAAAGATTTCCAGAGCCTGACTGTGTCACTGAGGGAAGCCCTGTGAAGTGACAGAACAAACAAAACCAACAGATGTGACTGCTGTTGTTGCATGAAAGCGTCACCTACACACAGTGCTATGGATGATGCTGTGGGGTACAGAGTGACCAACCTGAATGATGTCACGTTCCTTAGGCTGACCAAGGCTTGCAGCCCTTGCATGTCAATGCTGCTGTTTCGCAAATCCAAGGAAAACTCTTTTCTTGACCTTTTCAAAATAGAGAGCAGTACATAGACATCAGGTGGTATAAGAACTATGCCCAGAAAAGACAAGTCTGGTTCGAGTCTTAAGGCCACATGCTGCAGAAGGTAATTGTTCTGTGTTTCATAAACACAATGAAAAAGCTCCAGCAGCCTCTCTGGACAGAGAGTATTAATCTGCAGCCTTCTAATGTATTTCAAGAGTGTCTTCTGTTTCTTGGTTGACTGTTTTGCATCCACATTTGAAAGAGAGCCCAAATAGAGGTCATCCTGGAGAAACATCAAACCAACCAAAAATCGAGGCATCAAATCTAACCAGTTATAAGGTTTTTTCTTCTTGGATAGAAAAGACAGGTACTTTGTTAGATTTTTATCCTTGAGTTCTTCTGCTAACAAAAGGTGGAGTGCACACAAGAAATTCTGAATGACAAAATCAGAGAATGTGCTCCCAAATTCCTCTTCTTCACTATCTGAATGTCTGGGAAATGCAAATGGCAGGACAAACCCATACTTCAGAGCAAACTCTTTAACTTCCTTAGAAGGAAGAAGATCACTTTTCATGGCACTTTGGTGCTTTTCTCCAAGACACCAGGCTATACGGGCTAGGGTAGCAAGACTCTCTTGATTTTGTGTGGTTGTAACATCTGTTTGCATAAGCATTATCTTCTGCTTAAAAAATTTTAGGAAGACTTCAGTAAGAGTTGAAGGAAGACTTTTCTCCCCCATTTCAAGCACTGCCTCACAGAGAAAACAAACAAATCTACACATAACAGGGCTGTAACAATGACTGAACAAGTACTCATGCTCTTTGATTAATTTCAGTGCACTATCACAGTAGGGTGATTCTTCAAAATATTTGGTTATGTACAATTCTCTCTGCTGAGAGGAAAATCCTACTATTTCAATAGTCTTATCCACTTTGGATGCATACTGGTACAGTTTGTCTTTTGGTCTTGCTGTAAATAATAAAGTACAACCATTGAGTAACTTCTTTTGGATGAGTCCTGAAAGCAGCTCCTTTGTACTGCACAAATCCTTTTCAGGCTGGCTGGCTGAGCAGCGAGGAAAATTCTCATGATCATGCAATCCTTTAAACCCATCAAAAATCAGAAGGACTTTAGCAGGATTTTGCAATATATACTCAAAGATCTCTTTGCTTCCCTCTTGAGGTTTTACAAAAAATTCAAGCAGCAGTTCCTTCAGGCTGTATCGTTTCTCAGGCAAGCTTATTTGTTTGCAGTCAAACCAAAATACAAATTCAAACTGAGAAAACTCTCCACTGGACCAGTCCTGGCAGATCTTCTGAACCAGAATGCTTTTGCCCATTCCTGCTTTACCCAGAACCACAATCACTTTAGTCTCTAAGTCTTTACGTTGTGGGATTTGAAATATCTGGCTTCTATCAATGGCTGTCTTTTCCTTCTCTTGCAGGCTGCAGGTTACCAGCTCCTTTTCCATTGCTTTTGCACTATTCTTTCCAGTCTTTGTTTCAGTTTGAGTTTGAACAAGTGTCCCATCAATGAACAGGTGATCCAGATTTACTTCCCGCTCCATGGTCACAGATTTGCACGTGTCTCGGAAATAATCTTTAAGTGACGAACAGAAGGTTTCCACTTGCTCTAAAGAAATGAAGAGCATACACAGACTGAAGGAACCAGTCCACAAACTACACAATCATTTCATGATGACTTAAGTGCCTAACTGCAGTATGGTAAAAGTACAGGCATTCCCATAGAGCCGATAGGGCTGGATTTACCCCCTGCAGCTGCAGCTGAGAAGTGCAGGCACAACAGACACTTTCAGATCTATGAACAGAATCATTTTGGAGCTGTCTGTACAGATGATAAAACCACTGAAGCACACTGAGCTGCTAAGTAGGTACTACAGCTACATTTCTACAGGAAGCCAAGTCTAATATCTTGAAACAAGGAATTGTGCTCAGACCCTCAGAACAGCTTCACAAATTATTGAATGATTCCTACAAGGAGCTTTTCTGTATGGAAAGAAACACAAAATCTTTTTCCAAAAAATACTAGAAGGTTTAAGTTCAAGAGTTCTAAACTCACCTGGTCTTTTGAAAGGTTCTTCAGAAGGAATTATGGAATCTTCTTGAAATGTCTCTAAATCTGGAGAAGCAAAACAATATACTTGACAAACACACCTAGATAATCACTGATTCAGCTTTTCTAATTTTAACAATAAGATTAATGCAAATTTCCATGTTCATTGTAGCATATATACAGAGTAAGAGATATTTTGCTAATTTTACAAGGAAAGTGAATGAAATTCTGCCACAAGTAGAATTCTGCTGATGTGCACTGCTGGAGGCAGAATGGCATCAAACAAGACCACAGCTGTTCTGACAGCTGCAGGAAGCAGATCTACCATTACCAGGTGACATCCACTGTTCTTTTCAAATGTCAGTGTTTTGCATAAATTCATGTTCACACATAGTGCTTCTTTATGTCTTCAAAAGCAATAGCTTCCTTTTGTTATTCTATACCTTGTAACCAAGCACTAAGGATGAAAGTCACAGAGAAGTGACTCTTGGTAACAGTATTTACCCATTACTCTCCCTGACAAAGTCCTGCTGCTGTCCAAATTTTTTTCTTTTCGCCTGTTTGCTTTCAAACTACTGCAGACTTCTGCAGTTGGGTCAGGTGAACAGTGTCTCCTTTACAAAAAGAAATTGTGAATTTTTCAGACAGAACATGTTTTCTACAGATTGGCAATTGCAGAGTATCAGTTTTGACAAAATTTTTGATAGGAAGAGGTTTGCAGATGCAACACTGAATTTAAATTGACAGAGACTGTAGCAAACTCAGCCTCAGAGTCTCATAACCACATGCAGCAGAGATGTACAAAAAATTACCCAAACCAAAACAGATTCATCTCCCTAAATATGTTCAAATGTGTTTCATACCATAATATCATCTTGATGATCTTGATGTAGAATGTGGTCTAAAAGAGTTTCAGAGATCTGGAAATTAATTCCTACCCTACATGCCAGCAACCTTCAGAATGGTTTGAGTTCAGATTTGCTTCTAAAAGGGAAGCACCACAGGTTTCCAGTAAGAAAGGTATTAAATAAAGAAGGGTTGGGCAAGCAAGTGTCTGGTTTTGATTTACTTTTTGTTTTATTAATTAAGAAAACAGAATGGAAGTACAGAAAAAAAAATATGTAATGAGACATTTAGATGGGAAACTGGTCAAAGCAGGCAGGAGTGAAGAACTTTTAAAAAAGAAAAATAAACTGGCTTGGCATCTTACATGCTAATTCGTCTGCTGCTGCATCTGGAATTCCGGGGCTTGTGGCATACGTTTGTTGTGCTGAATTAAATCAGTTGGAATTATTAGCACTGTTTATTCACACAAACAGTAAATACAATTTACAAAGACCTCCCCACACCTAGGGATATTTGCCTTTTAATCTCCGTGTTACACTTTTGCTTCGGGGCAGTGGAAGCCACCAGAGGGCAACAAACTCCGGCACTGGGCACAGGGACCAGCATCAACAGATACCAAACTCTGGGTTCCAGCAGCTGACGGCTGGAAGAAAAGTGTCCCAGGAAAGTTTGTTACCTGAATTGGGTCTGTTAAATCCTGACCAAGGCTCTGATTTCTTTATAAGCCTTTCTGTGGCATTAGGTTTCAGTATTGCTTAGTCAACTAAGTCATCATCATGTTGGTTTTGGGGCTTCCACTGGAGATGGCGGCAGTCTGGGTGCCAGCACTGAACATTTAAGATGCTCAGGCCAAGTCAGCATCAGATCATCTCCCACTTTCTGAAGGTGCTCCAGCACCCTTGGCTTTGCATTGTTTCCTTATTCCAGAAACTGGATGCCATAGTAAAGACAGGGGATTGGCTGATGAACCTGAAGCTCTACCACTCTTATCTCTACATTCTGGCTCAGACTAAGCAGCCAGTGATCAATACAAAGAAGGAGATACCATCCATTTTTGTTTTTTTAAGGTCAGTGGGAGTAAAGCCTGGAGGAGAGAATTGGCTTTGAGTAGAAGCACTATGGTTTCTCTCCCAGTTCAAAGTGCTGTAAATACATAAACCCCATTTTTCTACTTACCACATAAATTAACTGGAAAATTTGGAGACATGAATGTTTCCATAGAAGATGCCAGCACTAGCAAGAAACAAAGCATAGTTTTTAGCATATCTTAACTATCAGTAACTGAATTTAATCAATGCTGCTGTTGGCAGCATTTTTTTTTTAGCACTTTATGCCTCTTTATGTGGATAAAAAGTTATTGCTCTTACCTGGATATACTATAACATCAGATGTGCTATTTTCAAGAACAAAGTTAAATATCTGCTGAGGAGCACTTGCCAAGTTTTGATTCTCTTGGTACTCCTTCACACTGGCTGGTAGACACTCTGAGGTCAAAGGTTCTGACAATCCTGAAATGAGTGCAGAATAATTACTCGTGTTTTTAAAAAGTTCTGCTTTCTAAAGCTTCATGAGAGAGAAGAAGCTTTCTATCAGCTCATCTTTTCTGGCAGCTTCTAGGCAAATCCTCTCTGTGGAGAATTCACAGGATCACACAAGGCCCATTGAACCCATTAAAAAAAGAACTCTTACAAAATATGATGAGCATGAAATACATGGGATTACCCAGCTTCTACCAGCCACTGTTTTCAACAGTTTAAAGAGAAATTCTATTATTATAAGGAAAAGCGCTTGAGGCAAAACTGTAAATGTACAGCCAGAGATCCAGAGAAGAGAAAATTTGTAAATAGTATGTATCCACATTAAATTTACCTTCCTTGCATTACATCCTTCCCACATAACTGCATATCATGCAGGTTGTATAAGCATCCTCCCTCTCAACCCACGCTGGGAAAGTTTTTTGTTGGTTCAGTGCTTGCAATTTAATCAGCCATAGCTCTGAGTTTCTGTAGGTGGGACAGAATTTCTTCTGCTATTGCATGATGCTTCAGTTTGCATCAGGTACTTCAAGACTTCCAGCTTACACACTGGTTTTGGTTTCTTTCCAGCACAGACTTAAAAGCAAAAGGTGTTGAACTGGGCCTCTGTCATTAGGTCTTCTCAGTGTACCATGAGCACCTCTGCTACCCAGCATGGCCCAGGCTAGGTGCCTACACAGCCCATCAGTGGGATTACTGCTCAGTTTTCATGATCAAATCACAGCCTAGATTTTGCTCTAGTGTTGCAAATGTAATTATCCCTTGGTCTTTTACAAACCTCTGGGTGAAAAAGAAATTGGAACTAAATTAAAGTTTAATTATGAAAATTTTGTGACTTCCTATTCTTAAGACAAGTAATTAATTACTTAGATTAGTATATAGTAAATAACTGTTCTCTTATAACCTGCACCAATTAAATAAAAGATTCATTCTACTCAATTAGGAGTAATGCCCTTTTAATTTCCATTTAATATTTTTCATTCTTTTAGTGAGTGACACACTTTTAAAGGCTTGACTGAGACAGCTGCCATACCTGCCATTTTATTGCCATTTCTCATAGTCAATGACAAGATTTATAAGAGTTTTCCCCATGTGTAAATCAGTCTGTGTACAGGTGCACACCTACAGCTGTGCTACATACCAGGAATTATGAGGTTTCTTTCCAGCCCATGGGCAGCAGGAGCAGAAAAGGACATGTGCTGGTTAGTTAGGGAGGTGCAGCTCACTGGGTGGCTGTTGAGAGGCATAGCAAAGAAACTGCCATTCCCTGCAGACACTGCAGGGGCTTCTGCTTTAAAATAAAATAGGAAAACAAAAGGAGAAAGTTACCTCATTGGCAGAAGTTACAGGAACCAAAGAAGAGGTCTCAGTGGATACGATAAACCACTTGATTCTGATCAGCTGTGTTTGGATTTTCCATAAGCAAGAACAATTCACAATAGCTTTCTAAAAACTATTTAGCTTTCAAAATCTTAAATGTATTTATTAAATTCTGTAGTAGATCACTTTTTCTTCTCAGCAGTTCACTCTTTAAATTTTCTTTTTCTTCATCTTTCCTGGCCTATCTTATTTCCAGATGTATGTAGATGTACATAACCCTACACATAGATGACTGGCAGATAAGACATAACAATGTCTTACACCGGCTGTACCGATTTTCCAAGCATAGTTTGTTGTCTCAATATTGCAGAAGAGCAGAGGGGCCCACAAGCAATAACCTGGGGACCTTGACTCCCTACTCAGACCCTATAGTGCTTGTAAGGACAAACAGTGTGTGTTAAGTGTCTCCCACAGAACAGTCACGAACACAAGAACTTTTAAAAATGCATCTCCTCTGCAGCACATTTTCTTCCTCCAAGAATAGAACAGATGGGGAGAGGGGCTTGTGCATTGTACAGTTTCATCTGCTTATCAAAAGATTCCTACAAATCAAGACACACTTGCTTATTTGAATTAGTCTGTTAGTTTCACTGGTTTTACAACACCCCTATTCTCAGAGCTGGTTTTGCTTTTTCCTTCCCTATTCTGTGTAGCTGCAACAAGTAAGTCTGTATTTCATCACTTTCTGTGGTCTGATGTTTTTATCAGGAGCTACAAAACTGTCTGGTGTTTGTGCCACTATTTCATTCAATTCCTTTGAAAGAATCTCATTCTTGGCTTACTGCTTTGAACTTTAGCACACATTATTCTCTTTGCTGTAGGTAGTCTTGCATTTCTGAAGAACTGATGCAGTTGCCTTTGCAGGATCATACTGTGACACCTGTGACAGGTTAAATAAACTCTTGATTTTGTCAAATAGCTCATCTTTTCGTCAATTAGATTTTTTTACACAATACTTATACTGCCTTATGTATGTGTTCCTTTCTCAGAACCTTCATTGCGTCAAGAACAGTAGAGAAACTGATAATACTCTGAGGACTTCCAGTAAAAGGATAGGTGCAGCTTCACAAAGCACCTCTTAGCTCTGTGATGATCCTTTCATCTGGAATGCAGTTTCTGTAGGGTGAGACATTTGGAACTGATGTGCCATTTCCTATGGAAAACTATTACTGTTAGTGTGGCATAAACACAGACTTTTAAAAGTGCCAAATCTATAAAGGAACTTAAGCAAAAAGAAAGTAATTCACCTTTAATGGGTATTAACTGCTTCACCTGTGTCGAAATAACTATAACCAGCAGGTACCAGTTCAGTAGAAACTCTGATAACCTTCCCAGAGCTAGCAAATGTTTTTTAACAGATAGTTCTGCTCAGTTCTCCCTCCCCACTCCCTCAGAATTCCACAAGAACACTGGAAAACCAGCTTGGATGACAGTCATGGTACACACATGTGTTGTCTCTGACTTTCATGCAGTCTGTGCCAGCTCCTTGCCTGGACTGTGCTGAGGTGCAGTCCCAGATCCCAGCACTCTGGCTGGATCTCTAGGTCACACACTGGTTTGGCTGCCCCCTGACATGTACATGGTCCCTAGGGGTTGGTGCAGTCAGAGTCCCGTTAGGAGGCTTCTGAGGTGTGCTGACACAATGAGTCAGATGTCCATTTAAAACGCAATATAAAATAGTCAAAACTGGTTGCTCTCACCTGAATTTTGGAAGAATATTTTGCTGATTTAGCTCTGCCTGAGATACCTCTTTAGGCTACAGTTGGGTAGGAACATTAGCACCAGTTTCCACCTAGGGTATGAGTTCCAGCCTGCCTGCTGGCCCCAGGTGTTGTCTTGTAGATGGTCGAACAATGTGCAAAACCTGGAAATTTCCCTTTCTCCTCTTCTTTCTTTGGTTTAAAGGACTTTATAGCATGGACTGAGCCAAGAAATCATCTTGTCACAATTATTATTTTCACTAGGATGTTTCACTGGACTTTTGGAAGTTGTCACACTTGAAACAAAGAGGATAAAACCCAGGACATGCAGAGCTATGACCTGACAGATAATATGACTCAATATTATTCAATAACCTTTTCTTATTCAGCCAATGACTTACCAATTTTCTTATATTTGGGTTCTGAAACATCACAGTAACCCTCTGCTGCAGAGCCTAAGAAAGCTGAAAGAAAGCAAGGTCATAATAAGTGGCAAAATTTTGGTTATTTTAAATTTACCCCATGAAACTTATTTTAACTTTTTAAAGTAGAAGGGGGTGTTACCAGTTTCAATTCAGCTAGTTCAGAACAGTGCAAGTCCAATGTATAAAAATGAATATGAAAAGCCTCATGTTATTTTGCTCTGACTGTGAAGTTATAATTAGTCTGCAGATTTCTGTGCCAAAGATTTTTGCTGTTGTTCTCACTATTAAAGAGGCAATTGTTCAGCCAGCATTACTAAGCTACAGATACATTGAAAACAAAGTCAACAATGCCATGAGGATGACAAAAATGCAAAGAAATGCAGCATGTTGAATGTTGTGTTATAAGACAACAAATTTTGCGAACTGTAAATTCTATGCTTGGAAGAGCTTCTTTCAGTTCCGGCCCACAAGCATGAACAAAGGCAGAGGAAGCACGTCTGGTTTCACTGAAGAACTGCATGACAAGAGCATTGGGGCAGTGCTAAAGCCAAGGGGTTGTAATGCAAGTTTAGAACTCAGGCACAAAGCCTTCCATATTCTCACTGTTTTACACTTACTTCGTTTAAGACATGTCTGCATCTTTATGTCAGGAAATTTCTCAGTGTTTTCAGCAGCAATGTCATCCAAAATAAGGTTCCCTGCTAAAAACATGAAATATGGTCTAATGTCAAACTTTTTTCTTCTAAAAAAATTACAGAGAGGAGTAAAAGCAAGAAAAACACACCAACAGAGAGCAAAGATGAAATATGCTCGAAATAAAAGATAAAAACCAAATCATGCGATACAAGATGTATCCAGATCCATATGATTTAGAAAGCCCACAAAGCTCTGAATGCAGACTTTGTCACCCTGTGTTAATTTCTGAACTGCAAACTATTAATCTATTGGTGGTGGCTAATAAAACATAAGTACTTCTCAATGCTCTAATGATGAGCAAAGGATAAAACATCACAGCTGTGTCACAGTGTGATCTCAGTACTTCTCAATTTATGTTCTAAGGTGTTTAGATCCTTTAAAAGACAGAATAAAGGGTTCTAAAAAGATTTCATATTCTGCATTATAAGAACTGTGAAGTTATCCACATCATACTTTTACTGGAAAAGTAAGTACTAAGTATTAAGTACTAATATTGTATTCAGTTTTTTTCTAAAACCAATAAAAATATTGCCATTAGATGCAAAACCCCCCAAATGCTAAACACACCAAGGATCAGCATAAATCATTTGAAAAGCCATGTGAGCTTCCCACAGTCAGAATTATTCTAGGGAAAGACTGACCTTTGGTAAATTAGTCCAAATTATTTTGCTCAAACAAAAAATAGGATATACAGATATTCTCTGAACCTTCTGGCTCTATGGATTTCTCAACAGTCACCTATTGATATATCTGTTCTGGAATAGTAAATAGCAGTATTTATGCTGTTACCAAAACAGTGATTTGGTACCACAAGCCAAGAAAATCTCCAGTCAAGGATGGATGAAGGAACGATTTACTGTATATATAATATATATGTGCATTGCTGCATTAATCAGGGTGAGAAGTAAAACTTGACATGCTTCCTCAGGAAGCTCTGTGCATCCTGGACAGAAATCAGTGTGTGTGAACTGTATTTATACACATGCAGAGTGCTCTGGGGACTTATGTGCATCATCCCTGCTGTGCTCATAGTAAATGTGATGCTACTTGAGGCTATTAATGCACTGGACAGTGAAGCTGTGCATATTCTATGGCCATGGTGACATGTTTAGCAGCTTGGTCAGAGACAAAACTGAGATCTTTGAGAAAGGCCTGCAAAAATGCACAAATTCCTCAAGTTTTCCAAGAAAATCCTGCAACACTGTAACCAAGGGAAAGAAGTAGATACCAGAGGTATAAAAACTTTACTAGTGTTCAAACTGGGAGAATGAAGCACATCTTAGATGACATCTTAGATGTCATCTTAGACATGACATCTGTCATGTCTTCTGTCTCCATGACAGAACACTGTCATGGAGAAAATTAGTCTTTGCCATATCAATCTTACCAAAAATGTCTTCGACCTGCTTCTCCTGCTGATCCTTGAGCACATATTCTACTAATTCAGCTAGCAACAAAGGGAAAAAAAAAAGAACACAATAATGACACAGTAAATGCCACAGCAAAACTCTTGTAAACTTATCCTCATTAACAGAACTCTTCAGTGTAAGTAAAAGAGTTAAATTAAGTTTTTCTTGTAACTTGTTGTTCAGGAAATAAAGATCATACAAAAAGAGAAGTTGTGAAAGGAAGTTTTAAGCAGAAGGAGACATTAATAGAGAGATTTTCTCCCAACAACCACAAGTTACTGTTAATTGGTTTCCCCACAGTGCACAGGTTCAGGTACTCTACATCAGATCTACCACACATGAGGGAAAGGCTACTTGAGTAAATGCCATGGCTTCAGATTGAGAATAAAATTTATAAGAAATAGCTATAGCAAATGATTGTAAAATAATGATTTAAAAAACAAAAACTGCTTTCATACCGATTTTAGCATAAGCATCCATGGTGTTGGAACAGGGGTAGAAGCCATCTCCATTTTCATATGGGAAATCCACATTATTTAACTGTTCATAGTTGCTGGCATCAACTTCAAGATCTAGAGTTAGTAAGGAATATGTACTGGCTCAATGAATGGCATAACCAAGCAGTAAAAATGCCAGACAGCAGGACATGCAGAACAGGCAGATTTGCTACTTCAACAGAAGGCTTTGGTTTTTCATTGTGTGTTGGCTGAGAAGGAACAGAACTGAACTTTCAGTAATTTACAGTCACCTGGAAATCAGCACTTTTCTTTTGCTAAACTCTGAGACCTCATCTCTCCTAGTAAATAAAATACTTCCTGAATCCATTCTATGACAATCAAGCCCAGACTCATACAGCCTATTAAACCTTCTTGTCCTTCAGGATATGGTGGTATCACCCAGGTGCCCTGTTCAGAACAATGCTGTGTCCATGCTAATCCCTGAACTGCACTACAAATTGTCAGCTGGCCAGGAACCTTGCTAACACCTTCACAGCAGAGATGCCCAGCTTCCAGAAACCGATGCCATGTCCTGATGATGTTTGATTTACCTACATCATCTCAGGCATTGCTAAGGCTCAAAAGTATTCCAATCGGTGAAACATCTGCGATAGCATGAGTCAGTGCTTGACCCCTAATTCATTCTACTTTTCGTCACTGAGCAAATGAGGCCATGGGGTAAGAAACACTCCTGCAGCTGTTTTTAACAGACAGAAGCTGAGAGGGAAAAGCCCAACCTGGGAAATGATCAATCACAAAGATGATTCCAGATTCTGGTGCTCAGTTCTCCACTGATTTGCCTACTGGCATGGGCACTCATGAAAGCCACAATGCTCCAATTTGGTAATATTTTCCACCTATTTGGCACAGAACTGTGAGACTTTATATCTGGCATACATCAGCTCTTCTCCTCTCATTGCCATTCTCAATCCATGGTCCAGCTCATTTGTTTAAAATAAGCTCAGCTAACTCTCCATATCACAGACACACTTTAATACTTTTATAATAGAACACTCTGGGGAGGGAGGGCAGATCAGTCCACAACTTCCACACAATGCCAGGAGCACAAAGTTTGAGATTAGGGGAAACCTCCTGATCTGATTACCTGTAGGAACTGAAGTGCAATAAATTATCAACTTTTTACTATTGCCCTTCCGCTTTCTCATTTGTAATGGAATTATAATAATGGAATTATAATAATGGAATTATAATAATGGAATTATAAAATCACTGTGTCCCAAAAAGATGAAAAACAGCATCTGGTAATGCAACTCCATTGTTTTGGTGCTTTAGGATCTCAGAAGGCAACGTAACGCTGTTTGCTTGTGGGCTGTCTTCATCACAAACTCATCTAAAAGTCTCTATTTTACAAAACTTTTGGCTTCAATCCGCAGAGCTGTTGACAATTACACTTGGCCAGATTATGACAGGAACATTTGCAAATAAACTACTTACAGGAATGATATCCAAATGAAAAACACTGTCATGCCCTGTTGAGTGACAGTACAGTGTGTTTTATTACGACTCACCGACCAGGATGCTATAAGTATGTACAATTTAAAAACATGACTGTTTCTGGAAAAACTTACATCCTAACACCAAGTGCTTGTAAACTTTAATTCAGTCACCATGCTAAACTGCCATGAGGTGGCTTTGTAGCTGAGAGGAGACGGCAATAACTTATACCATGAGGAATAAACCAGTTGAGTACTTTTTTTAGTGTTTTACTAACCTGTAGAGAAGTCACCTTCTTCATCTCCAGGTAACTTAGGATCAAAGAAAGTACACAGATGCAATGGATCAATATCACTGTGCAGTAAATCAAGGTAGCCATTTTCAGGCACAAATACTGAATCCATGGTTTGTCTCTTTGTCTGAAATCAAATTGCACAGCAGTTAGCTATGACACAGCCACAACTTTTGTCAGTCAAATCCATAAGTCCTGCACTGTGGCTTTCTGTTGGCAAGGTACAGATTTTGAGGCTGCAGAGCTGGCATTTCTTACCAAGACTTGCACTGAGTTTTAACCCTGAGTTACTTAGAGATCCAAAGACATCTGCAGCGACACTCATCTATCTTTTTACTCCAGTGAGAGGAGTGTGGTACTGCAGTCTGACCACCTGGACCAAAAGTGCCAAGTATTGAATCAGTGGCAATCCTGGTATCTTATCAGGATATAAGTGATGCACAAATCCAGCAGCTTTCAAGGAAAATAGAAGACTGAAGTGAATATGATGGGAAAAATCAGAAGCTACATTTCTTCATAAAGTTAATCTATTCCTCCACATCATTGTAAATTCCCTTCCTCCCAGTTACTGCAGCAAACACTAGAATCAGTTCAAACATTCGTCCTGCATATTCCACAAGTATAGAATAATACTGTGTGTTACTTATTCATCATCTTTATCAAATTATTTCAAACCCAAATATTGGCTCTTCAGTGTTTATCGATCACTGTGTAAATGCCACCTGAGCTGATGATCCAAAATGATTTACACCAGCATAATACTGAGATACCAAGATGAAAAGAACAACCAGCAAAATGTTCAGACTCTATCCTGTTAAAATAGGTGTCCACACCCCACAACCATGGAAAGTTTCAGCTTGGCCTCAAGCACCATATTTTGCAATGAAGAGTATTTGTTAAATGGCTCTCAAATACTCTGCCCTTAGCAGAAGGCCACCGATGTCCCTGTTTGCATCTATCTCTGTTCCTGAGGTGTGCAAACATGCAGCAACTCCTGTCCCATGTAACCGACCTGCAACATGGAAAAAGAGAAATATAGCTAACACTGCAGCTGTGATGAAAGAAGGCAGAGCAGACCTTGTCTCACACTACCATGTGCCTTGTTATAAACTCATCTTCATTCCTCTTACCCCTCCATGGGGTTGTCCCTCTGAACAGCTTGGAAATGGATATTTCTGCATTTGCTGCAGAATATGCCAAAATCCAGAATCAGAAGTTTGAAAAGTAGGTGAACATGGTGTGGTTCCATGAGTAGGAATAGCCTGCACTAAGATAGTTCTCCTTTTGGATGTTTTATGGTTTCACTACATTACCAAGATTACAAAAATTTGGTATTATTGCCTGGCAGCTATAAATGGAAAGCAGAAGTTGAGAAACCTGCCTGAGAACCAAGAATGAGATTATAAACATACCAGATTAAATTTTCAGTTTGTTGCAACACTTTGTTTTGCCCCTTCTGTTTGTTGAATTAACAGAAAATCTAAATAGGGCCTTTCAGAAGGCAAACTTGCCAGACTGTGTGAATAAAGCTCTTGAAAAATCAACTCTGAGTCAATATAATTTTGGGGTTAGAGTCAGAGAAGAAATTGGGCAGAAGGCTCAAGGGGAATGCAAGACAGAAAAATCTATCACTCCCAAGTTCATTGTTTGGCAAACTGCTTGATTACAGCACAAAGAAAAAGGCACTTTCTAGGGAAAGAGACTGAGTAGGACTTAATCTTCATGGAAATACTAAGCTTTAATTAAATTTATAGTCATAAGAGCTTTTCTATCTTAAAGTTTTTCTTTCAATAGCATTTCTCTGTGGATAACTACATAAGTAATGCAAAAATGTTTTAAGCTACAATGGTCAAGAAGTCAGGACGCAACCAAGGGAAAGTCTTGGCAGTGCCAAGTCTGGCTACAGAGCTTAAAACTAGAATGTAAAAGATGGTATAGCTCAGGTGTGAGAGAAACAGGAGTGAGAGAAACATACTCTTCTACCTTAACAAGATGAAGATTTCCACTCTTTCAAAAATTAAGAACTCAGTTGCTTGCTTTTTTTGCTTCACCAGTCTGAATGGCCCTCAGTTTACTCTGGTACTTTTTCTTCATTGTTTTGGTTTTGACACAAATCCTTATATGGCTGTCTCTCTATTGACTACACTGGATTTAGGATCCTGGTACTTCTTTCTAATCTGAACCAAAAAATTTTTAATAGCAGATGTATTCTGCTGCATTAAAAGCATGGTCCCACCATGGAAAATAAACTGTGAATAAAGAAGCAAGTTTTTGAAAGAGGGAAATTTCTACATGGAGAGGAGGCAGAGGCAAGGAAAATTACATGTCAGAGACATGTAAGTGTTTTGCTGCATATTGTAACTGAAGTACACAAAGTGAAACCAGACCTTTACCAAGCTTGTTTACAGCAGCAATTCCTTTTCCAGAGCTTCCTCTTTTTTTGTCACAGCATCCCAGCATCCTGTCTGATGTGAAGGGTAATGCTCAGCATTTCCTCTGTTGTTTCATACATGATTTTAACTTTGTTTACTGATATTACGTTCCCTTTGGGGTCTTGTGGGACCCAGTGCTGCCAAAACACGTATTTGGCACAGTTTCATGCCAGAAGAATAACAAATTTTGTAAGGGTTTCTGTGTTAGGGCTGTGAAAGCCAGTGCCAGCTCACAGCAGGAGTAAGACAGAGCCTGCAGGGACATTCAGGACAGGAGTCCCCAGGGCCACCTGTGAGGATCCCACAGACAAAGGGCATGTGCTGGGCAGGGGCGAGACAGGACATACTTCCACATGTGTTTCCATGCCATTCAGAGAGCTCAAGCCTTTGTGGTTTGGACACTGGTTAAGACAAATATTGTTCTTTAAATCCTTAAATAACACCTCCTTTCCCCAGCAGCCAATACGCTCCAGCTGCACAGCCACACTCGGCACCCTGTGTCCCCTTCGTGCCACCTCTGCAGTGACTCTGGGCACACCTGACACTGCCAGGTCTCTCCTCAGGATGCATTTGGTTCAGCTCTGCATCCTGCATACATGGCATGACAATATGGTTCACCTCCAAGACTCACAACACTTTTTTTTCAGTGCTCTTTTAGAGTTCAAGTGATATATGAATTAAAAATGCTGGAAAAGAAGTGAAAGAAACAGTGACCATCACTGTACAAAGACAAAGAAAGGGTAGGTGTTCACTTAAATCACATGTTAATCATAAGAATTAGATGGGGCGTTTTAGATTTCTAAAGGTAATGGAGGTAATTTTGATTAATCATTTTTTCCCAAATAATTTGATTTAATCTTGTTTTATATTTTAAAGGGTCAACATGTTAAAGATTCCAGGCAATGAGGTCTGCTACTAATTGAAATCAAACATTATCTAAGAGAACAAAGGATTATGAAGGCCAAAATGCAACATTTACACCAATAATAATGTAAAGGAGAGAAGATTTGAGGGGGAGCTGTTAGGGGCTTTCCTTCCCAAACCTCTGTTGACATATGAACTAACAGACAATAAATCTACCACATGAGTACAGAAGTTATGAAAATGAAAATTTGTAAAGTCATGTTAGGAACAGAGGAAATCCCCACTCCAATTTAAGTTTTTACCAGTTTAGGAAGCTGAGGATAATTCATAGAAAAGAGTAATAGTGCCATGCAAATCACACACTTTTTAACCACAGGATGACATAACATCCAAGTCTGTCATAACATTCCAAGTCCTAGAATACAGAAAAATTGAAGAGTGGTACTGCTGTGAAGACAGAAAGTTGAAAAATTAAGTACAAGTATTTCTGAACAAATGCTATTTTTCTGCAACACCCCAAACCCATTAAGTGCTACACATGAGTCTGAGTGATACAAGCTGACAAAAAAGCAGGTTATATCGTATAAATAAAGGGTCCAGTGAAACACCAGTACTTTGATTTAGAAGCACTTTGATTGAAAAGGTCAATATTGTTGGCCACAATTTTATAACCTTGTTTCCTTTCACCAACTTTAGAAAGTTTTCTCAGATCTTCTGTACTCCCTGAGGGTTATGTCAAGGTGCACAAGGCACTCCCCCAAAGGCAGAGCTGTTTCCTGGCTTTTGCTGCAGGCAATGTTTTGGGACAAGCTTCTCTGGGAGGTGGGCAAGCCAGCAGTGGGGAAGGATAAAATTCCCTCCAATGTTCCAATGTTCCAATCATTTATGTCCTTTTCCTCTTCCCAAATAAATGACTAACAATTCCTCTGCTCCACATGTACCACATAGATTTTTCCTTTCAGAAATTCCCTGATCATTTGTAAAATGCAAGTAATGGAGCTCAATTTATATTTAGCTTTGAAGGTTTAGTTTCTATTCCAGATCTGTGAAAAACCTATACACTGAAAAGCCAGTTTAACTTTTTCTATTGGATTACCCAGCTCAAGAAGAGATACTAGTTTTGCTGAGAGTCTTTATCTTTCTAATGGAATGGTGTTACTTTCCACAGACTTTTTAGTCTAAAATTAAAAAAACAAAGACAGAGCTGAAAAAGAACCTGATCTATGTCCTGCCATGTTATTCTTTGTCTCCCTTAGAGATGAGTTTAAAGAGTTTAAAAAACATAAATAACAGGTAAAAGGAGTTTTTGCCTTTCAATGAGCTTAGCGTAGAACCAACAATGTCACTGGTGCTGGACAAGTTCAGGCAGAGCTGTAACAAGTGCCCTGCAGATGTCAGAATTGTGATTTAGAGAAGAATTTGCCTTTCATGTCCAGTATCACCACCTGTGTCACAGCTGAGCCCAGCTCTCCCATCCCAGTTGTGAGATAAAGCATCACAGCAGACATTTTAACTCAATGGCTTTCTTCAAGACAGAACTTCAGCCCACCTCAATGGAAAGGTAAAACTGGCTGTTTTGCCAGAGTTGTGAAAAAATGGAAATAAGCCAGTTTCTTTCAGTGATTCTCAGTTTCATTTTCCATAGGTACAACACTTATACCAAAAAAGAATATTCTTAACGAAGTCTGAAACGAACTACGGAAACCCTTTGAGCAAGTAGCAGGGCTAGCCACAAAACAAAATCACAAAACATTCTCTAAAATTTCACCCACATTCAGATATCATCCTACTAATATTTGAACCAACACAAATCCAGATACTAAAACACTGCAATTACAAATATGTACAAAAAGCAAGAAAGATGAATTTACCATGAAAAAAACATGCATTCAAGGGTTGAGGAAAAACTGACCTTAAGTTCCTGCTGTTTCACTCTGGATTCAGTACCAAAAAATGATAACTGCCAGCCCTGCCAAGGGCTAACAGAAAGTGACAGCAGAAAGGAGGAAATAACAAACACCAGAACACTCAGAGGGGGAATTCCAAAGAGGAAAATTAAGAAGAACCTCCCTTCTAGCAGCACCAGTATAACAAGCAGTGTTACCTTTAATGGTCATTTGTCCCTGCTCGGAAGAGTTTCATCTTGTCATTAATTAGGAAAAGATCAAATTATTTGGTTGGAAACTAGAATTGGATGAGAGCTGACAGAAAAATTTCCATTGCTCCCCAAATTTTTCCTCTCCTTTTCTCAAATCTGTCCCAAAGTCATGCTGTTAAACAGTCCATCAGTAAGAATAAAGCCAGCAGCATGTGGGCACTTACCTTGCAGCTCCACTTGGTGTAACAGAAGTGAAAGTATGTATTTCACATGTTCACAGACTCTACCAACACAAAATTAGTTTTGCATCTCATGCAAAGTCTCTTGCCATTGGCCCAAAATGACAAGCAGGATGTTCTATGCAACAGGAGCTTGTCTGGCTTGCACATGATGTTCACAGTTTACTTGTAGCAGCATCCGACAGAATGTTTGTTCATCTAATCATCACTTACCTTGCCATGCCTACCTGGTGTTAAGACAAACAACCTTTTGAAAACCAAGTTCATTCATGAGCTTCCTCTCATGATGCCTATAGCTGCTTTTGTGGTGATCTGCAAGCTTGTTTGCTTAGTTTTCTCTTTTTAATCATGCATAGACCTACACAAATTAGAAATTAATAAATTATAAAAGGACTGTACTCCAGAGTGAACAGATAATTTTTGTAGTATTATTCCATTTGCTATAGCTTCTAGGAAAAGTTCCACCATAGTCTGAAGGGGAAAGGAAATAGCATTTGGTGAACACAATGACATCCAGACTCCCTGCTTCAGTAAGGCAAGATTTTAATCAGCTGCCAGTAAGAAATGGCTTCTGCACAAGGCAGCAGCTCCTATGAGCAAAGCAGCTGCTGACCTGTGTAAGAATTTTCTCTTTGCAGAGGAGATCCACTTCTACCACGTTTATGGGAACATGCTCACTGAATAGAGACAAAGATCTTTCCTTCCTGGAGCAGCTGATCTCTTCCCAGTACTCACAGACATAGGGCCTGATCTGTGCTGCAGGACATCAGCCTCTTCAGGCTCTCTCACAACCAGGCTGTGCTGGAACTCCTCTGTGCACTTTCAAAAAAAGCAACATCTCAGAATAAAAACACTCAGAACAGAAGATAATGAAAGGCTTCACAAATACAGATTCTGTATTTTAGTTCTCTGTTTTGATAGGAGACAACAAAACAATCACTGCATAATAAATCGGTACAAAATTTTACATGATTATTTGTTAGCTCTAATCCAATGTGTAGCACAACCCCTCAAGGGATAAACTCCTTCAACTCAGTAGCCCTGCAGGCAGATCTCTACCAGCTTTTGAGGCTGAAATCCATGAGGCAATCCCTAGACACATCAAAAACAAAAGTTTGGGGAACAAAGGTTCAACTTATTACTGTAATTCTAGTTCATGACTGCAGCAAAGACTGGTTGTCCACTTTTTGTACAACACTCATAGCTGCTTGGAAAGAGCAGAAAGGAACAAATCATAGTTTATCTCATAGTTTATCTAGTGGAGCAGTCTATAAAGGTGGTCTTTGAGGGAAAAGCAGACTGGAAAAGAAGAGGCTGTGAGACAGCTGAGGACTGCCTAAGCTTTTCAGGTGACCATCAGCTTCTTGGCTTTGATGTTGACTGGGACACTATCCTACTGCCAAAGGAGGAGACAGAACATGCTCAGTGTATTGGAAGCACCAGAATAAATGATACCAGGCCACTTTCTATTGTTTTCTACATTCAACATATGAATTCTTGGCCTTAATTTGAATGTGTGTGATGATATAGGTCAGTATTTTGCCCTCACATGAACTACCTTAATTTGTATCCTGAGGATTTCCTCCTGTATTTTCATCCATGCCTTTGCTGTCCCAAAATGTTTCTTTTTCATCCAGTCTGAGAGAGGCCAATCCCCACAGAGTCAAGGTATTTGATTTATTTACAGTTCTGCACAGAAAGGGAGGCTGGGTGGCAAACTCAGAAAACCAGCACCACAGCTATTAGAACTTTTCATTATTCATTTTGGCAAAAAAAGGCATGAATGTTCATTGGCTACAAGTTACATAGCTTTCATATTGATTAGTATTCTATCTTCTATTAGTTAAAAGATTCCCTCACTTCTCATGCAAATTAGTCTGTATGTTCAGTTTTTGTCTCCTTTTGAGTCTTGGTCCATCAGCTCTCTGAGAATGCTTGTGCAAAGACTGGTGAGATTCTGAATGACCACAAATATTTGAGGCCATAATCTGTCTTTGAATCTATTAGATTGGAAATTCTGAACCTTTTGAATTCCTACCTTCACTTAAAAAATGACCTTCTGAGTAAGCTGCAGGTGTGACCAGCAGCATTTCAGTGTGTTATTTTGGTGTGTCTCACCTGCAGTGTTTCATACTGCATTACTGAGGCTTGTCATAGCATTTAGGAAGAAATATGGTAGGTGATACTAGAAATGTAGGTGTGGAAGGATGCTGGAGACTTTGAAGCACAGCTAGTTTCTGAAGTGAGCAAGTAATGAAAAGGTTTGATCAGACAGCTTTTAAAACAAGATTTAGAGAGAAACCCCCATCCCTGAAATCTAAAAAACTGAGCTTTTATGTTCAGAATATCTTCCAAAATATCACAGTTTTACTTTCCTACAGGAAGTCAGCTTCATAATAGACATAGAAAGATTTGCATTAAGAGCTGCAAGCCTTGGTGGAGCTGCTGAGGAAATCCTGTGTGAGTGTGCATGCATGATGGAAGGCACAACATTGGTAACCAAAGGATCCTGAGACTTACCCAAATCATGTTCCTGCAGTTCTGCTTTGCACAGCTCAGGAATGGAGCTGGTGTTTATTCACTGAGTGCCATGCTCTCTAATGCTCATGAACATTGCTACAAAGTCCCTGCAGATTTCAATACTGTATTATGAACAAGAAACTGTGCTTCCTTGAAAAATCATTTCATGTTGGCTCTCTATCTGAGCTCTGGTTTTCCAGTCATCTACTGTCTTTGGCCTTTCTGGCCAAAAATTGGTTTCCATAGCAGAATTTTTGTTTGGGATTCCTTCTATCCAGGGTGAAGGTCTTTGAGGTACTGCTGGTTGAGCGATTTCTCATAGACTGGAAAGTCTATTTAACAAATTTCCCTATTTTCTGATTATAATGATTCAAGCTGTACAATATATAGACATCAGCAGTTCACTACTTCATTTTACTGCATGACTTCCCTTCCTGTTCTATGGATTCTCTTTAACTCACATGCAGCTTTTGTAGACAAGACAGATGTTTCATAGCAGCTGTATCTCTCTTAGGGATTGTCATAGTAGTGTTCTCAAGATCCAAAAGAAAAGACAAGCCTTAGCTATGGAAACTGCTAAGCAATAGCTACATAAGGAGCACCAAACAGTAAAAATACATGGCCTGACTTAGTTCTCTTTTTCACACACAATGTTTGTGCTGTGACACATTATAAAGAGGAAAGTGAGTTGAAAAGGAGAACCTGTGCTTTTGATTTCTCTGCATTGAAGGGAAGTATCACTTCTAAGTAAATATGGTGCTGCACAATGTCAACAGCTAATTTTGGAACCCAAATAATATTAGTAAAATGACAGTAATTAATGTCACTGTTTTTCTCAGGGGCAGTGAAGTAGATGAAAGTGTACAAATGTAGGCCTTCAGTACATGGCATTTGGGTATGTCATGAACCTTGGTAGATTTTATCTGGTGTCAAGACAGTAAGAATTTTTTTTTGTTTCTACAAATGCAAAAACAAAATCAGAAATAGAAATCACATTTAATTGTTACAAATTAAGACTGTAGCAGCAGAAGAACTTGAACCAAGTTTTCAATGCTAAAGCCTCTCTAGTCCCCTTTCCCTTATTTTGGCCTCAGTTACAAGATAATCAGCTTTGGGTTCGAAGGCAGAGTAGTTTTGGCACATTATTGCTTGGTTTGCCTTTAGCCCAACAAAAGCCAGGGACAGCTCTATAGAAACTAGGCTTCCTCCCAAGTTATGATATTGCAAATCTTGTTGGAAAACTCTTCAGAAATACTTAGAACACATTGAAGAGTGAAACAAAACTTGAAATCTTTATATCTTAATACCCATTCAAAGTCCACCTTGCTTTTGATCTGTCTCCAATCTAGATATAACAGAGCAAACGATCCAGTGTTTGGTTTGAAAACCTATAATCTCCTGGTCATGATGAACAGTGCCTGGGCACATTTGCAGGTGGAAATTGCTTAACAGTTGAAACACTTGCAGAAAAACTGCTTTTCTCACGTTTAAGTGGCAATCATGATGATGTACCACAAGCTGTTTGTTCACTTGCTTGTCCACTTCTGGAGGGAGCTGTCCTGTGGAGCGAAGCTCTTTCTCCACAAGAAGTCTACCCTTCTCCCATTAATGTATGCCCTCACAACCAGTCACATCCTGGAGCTCTGAGCAAGCATTTCCAACAGCAGCTGGCAGCTACCTGGCCTGTAGATGGAGGAGAAGACATTGAGAAAAGCTCTTACATCTTCCCTTGGTTTTCAAGTAGTCTGTGAAAATTACAAATGTACAGATCCCTTAGCAGTAGTTTTGGGACAGGCAGTGCACAACAGTATTCATCTTGTTAACAGAAGGACTTCTAATTTATCCGTAGCTAAGAGCAATTAGAAAAAAAGAAAAAAAAAAAAAAGAAGGAAAAAGAAATTAATATCTTTCACTACCACTGGAATTCATATAATTAGTCCAATACACTGGTACACTGGAGCATGTGACATAAACCCCCTGTAATTTCCCTTATAGTGAAATAAAATAGAGCAAGAATGGGAAACAGCACACAAATGCAAACTCCAGCTAACAAGGAAAAGGATGCGTGCAAAAAACCACAGCCTGTATCAAGTTTCAGACTGAATCAAAAAAACTGGGCAAAAATAATAAACTGGCAGTTAAATAAACCACATATTTTAGGGGCTTCCCTAGACCATTTCTGATCTTTGTCAACTAAAACACACACCAGACACAAAAGCTTTCTGAATCCACACCATCAGTCTGTTGAATGAAGGAGCACTTACCATGACCCCCATTCCAGTAGCTGATGTTCCTGTAACTGCACACAGTGGTTGTGGTATCACAGAAAGGTCACAACAACTTCTTTTTCAGGAGCTTCACGTCCATGTTGCCACAGTTCAGCAGTGGGGTCTCTGGACTGCTCTGCCCTGGAGAAGGGGAGCTCTCACACCCTTCTGCTGAAGCTGCTCTGCCCTGCATGAAGGATGAAAATCAGACAGCCAGTGCATTCTGTGAGAAACCAACAGGTTTGGCTTCTTGCCCTTCATCCAAGCTTTATTTCAGTATTTTTAATTGGAGATTATTTATATATTTTAAAGGTGTGTGCCTCATGAATTCAGGCCCAGTCACAGGAGAAACACCCTCCAGTTGGGAAGTCAGGCAGAACAGATTTCACGGGAATAGCTGTGGAGATGTCCAGCACAGCCTGGAACTTCCTCCT